TCCGCAGGAGTGAGAATATGAGTGGGCAGGGCTGCTGCTTGCACTGGAAGCGGGTGATAAGTTGCTTTCTGTTGGGAGTGGTTCTGGGAGAACTGCTCTTCCTTCTTCGTCTGAAAATTTTCCATGTATTTGTTTTCTTTTTCTATTTTTTCATGTACTCTTTTTTTTTCACATCAGCTCTGCGATCTGTCCTGCACCAGAAATTGAGTTGTGTTCTTTGTTTTTGGTTAGCACGCTGAGGCCTTTGGGTACTAAGAGTTAACGACGGAAAGTGATATGGGCTTTTTCTCAAGTTGTGAAAAAATACTTCTGCCTCCCCCGAAGCCTCTGGGAAAAGTCTGAACTTTCTGCCTCCCGGCCACAGCCAAGGCACAGAGAAGGTGGAATCGGCACAGCTGGAGTGGCGTCTTCCTTTGCAAGCTAGGGACAACTGCTCAGGACTGCTTTGGGGCAAGAGATGGCTGAAGAGCTGTGTGCAGTGGCTGGGTTAGAACTGTTGCGTCCAGCACTCAGGCTCAGTGCCATGGGCTGCCTGTTTTGGAAGGAGCTGCGCCATCATCAGGGATTGTCGTGGAATCTCCTGTGCCAGGACCTGCCCCGCCCCTCCGCGCAGACCTCCCTGCATCCATCTCAAAGCGTCCTGGGCTGAAGCTCAACGTTGTTGTCTTGGATCAGAGAAGAAACAAAGCTGTGTTGGTTGAGGGGTGGGGGCTTGGCAACAAGGGTTATCCACACCAGCACATCCCTGAGCCGAGTGCCCGGGACCTCGTCTCCTAGATGAGATTCTAATGGGATGTTTTCACCAAAGTGATCCAGCATCAGGCTGTGTGAGGTTCATCATCATCTTGTGTAAAAACACATGGTTCGAGGGCCTGGCGCGGTGGCCCAGTTGCTGAAGTCCTCACCTTGCACGCTCCAGGATCCCATATGGGTGTCGGTTCTATTCTTGGTGGCCCCACTTCCCATCCAGCAGGATGGTTTTCTTTCTTTCTTTGACTTCAAGACAAAGTGACAGAGATCTTCTATCCACTATTCATTTCCCAGAGGATTGCAACAGGCGAAGCTGGGCCAGGCCAAAGCTGGATCCTGGATCCTGGTCTTGGCCGAAGGTGACAGGAACCATGAATACTTAGGCCATCGATTACTGCTTTCCCAGGTGCACCTGCAGGGAGTGAGCTGGATCAGAAGCGGAGCAGCCAGGACTCCTGCTCATATGGGATGTCACTGCCAGCGGCAGCTGTTGAACACACTACCTGCATGCCAGCCCCAGGAGCTGCTGTGTGTATTTTGTAATTTATCTGGAAGAGTTGAGCCCTGCACAGTAGTCTAATGGCTAAAGTCCTCACTTCATACACACCAGGATCCCATGTAGGTGCTGGTTCACATCCCAGTTGCTCCATTTCCCTTCCAGCTCCCTGCTTGTGGTCTGGGAAAGCAGTCAAGAACAACCCAAAACCTTGGGATCCTAAACCCACACGGGAGACCTGGAAGAGGCTTCTGGCTCCTGATTGGCTCAGCTCCAGCCATTGCGGCCACTTATAGAGTGAATCATCGGATGGAAGATCTTCCTCTCTGTCTCGCATTCTCTCTGTAAATCTGCCTTTCCAATAAAAATAAATCTCAAAAATTAAGAATTACAGGAGAGACAGAAAGATCTTCTATCTGTGCGTTTATTCTCCAGATGGCCCCTAAGGCCAGAGCTGGGCTGGGCTGCAGCCAGCAGCTTCTTCCTGGTTTCCTGCGTGGCTGCAGGGGCCCAAGCACTTGGGCCAACTTCTGCTGCTTTCCCAGATCATTGCCAGGGAGCCGGATCAGAAGTGGAGCAGTCAGGACTCAAACCAGCATTCCTGTAAGATGCCAGCATTGCAGGCAGTGGTGTTATCCGTGACACTACAAGGCCAGCCCCAGGAGCTGCTTCTTGACTTCTGATTCCATCCTGCTGAGAGGAGTCACGCAGCAGAATCACTTTACAGCAGTTAGCTCAGCTTTATCCTTATCAAAGCTTTCCTCACGTGCGAAGAGGGGAATTTTCTTAAGTGCATTATTTTCACCACCGCATCAACCAAAAAAGATGTTGTCCGTAAGGCCTGGTCTATGGCAGCCAGGTCTTCTGGATAGTATTTGTAGCTGACTTGTCCTGCCTGCACGGGGAGATGGGTTTCCAAAGGAGGACAGAGGTGTTCACTTGCCATTTGCCCATTCTCTGCAGTCCACTGCTCAGCCCTGTGAGAGGACAACTTGGCCACGCAAGCCAGGAGCGGGGTCGCCGTTTCGGGGCGTTCATCTGCATTAATCAGCTTTGTGGCAATGTGAGAAGCTAGGTGGTTGTTTTGGTTCAGAGATGTGGAGGTCTGGTCTGGGGAAGAAAGAGGATGGCAGCGGCGGACAAGTGGCGCAATCAGTAAGGGGTAAACCAGGAAGCAGAGGGGCTGGGCTCTCCGGAGAGACGCCTGCTGAGCACACCCCCACTGACTTAGGGACTACCCTCTGGATTCCCCTGCAGACACCACTAACTGCAATCTGTTCCACCTTCTTAGTACCTTTAATACAGGACTTGGTGGGGGAGGTTATACTTTATATTTTTTACCTGAAAGGCAGAGGTTGAGAAAGGGAGACAGAGATCTCCCATTTGTTATTTCACTCCCCAACGGCTGCAACAGCTGGGGCTGGGCCAGGCCCGAACCAAACCAGGATCTCCATGTGCATCCACGTTCCCCACACGGGTGTAGGGGCCCATGCACCCAGGCCATCTTTGTTGCTTTTCCTGTAGAAGCAGGACAGGTGGGACTAGAGCCAGGGCAGGTGTGGCACGCTGATGGTATCGCAGGTGTGGCTTAATCCGCTGCCCATCATGGTCTGTGCTGCCTTGGGAGCAACATCTTTTTTCAACCATAACAACATTTTAATGTTTCGCCATTTGCTGACAATTTATGAAAACAAAACTACTCAACTGGCTGTAGGGCCCAGAATGTTTCAGGTGTAAAAACTGATGGTTGAATACTGCAAGACTTGGGGTGCCTGACACTTCTGGTCCCCCAAACGCTGGCCACTGGCTTGACAGGTCAGAGGAAGATGCATCATCCAGCTGGTCCCTGCTCTGCTGAAGGGCTGAATTCCATGCTTTCTAAATCCAGGCATGGACATGTATATACAGGCTCCAAAGCAAAAGTCAGAGACACAAATTTTACACAGGGAAAAATGGTTTCAAAGTTTGGTAGTTTTAATGCAAAGTCATTCTTCAAGGTAGTGTGGGTATATTAACTTGCTCATTTCTTGAAGCCTCTACCTTATGTTATTCTATCAAATTTAAGCACAACTCTTTGGCCCTGTAAAAAAAATTCTTTACATATTTTAAGGTTTTCTTTTTTTCCTGGAACATCGTTGAAGCCTTCATGGCCAATCTGCTCATCGCCCTGGGCAGAGCTTCTTGGAGCTTCTATCCCACCTATGCCAGAAGACTCCATTTCCCAGCTGGTGGTGGACTGTGAGCAAAGTGAGGAGCGAGCAAGCTTTGCAAATGGCTTCTACTTCTCCTCCACGGGTGTGCTGTGATGCCCTTGGGCTCCTGCAAGGTCACACATGCAAGACAAGCACTTGGCCAAAACAGCAGGATCCTAACTAGTGTAAAAATAGATTTTAAATAAAATAGAATCTCTATAGGAAAGAGAATTAGGGTCTGCTTTACATTCCCACTCTTGCTCAGAGATAGCTGTAGAATTCAAGTCCAAGGAGGAGTTGAAGAGTTGGTTTGCCCTACGGAAATATTAAGAACATCTGAGTACATTCATTTTGTGAAGTTGCAAGTCAGATTTGGGGTGGGAGGAATGCTGCAGGACATCCCTCAGAAATAATCATTAGGAACTTGCAACATGGGACACATACGGAAGGATCAAAAAGGAGGCCTGTTCTCCAGCTAAAAACACTTCTGAGATGTGTAATCTGAAACCTTTGGCTAATGAAATGGTTTGTCCTGGTAACCTCTCCTGCTCCCTCCTCAGAAGCTGACTGATTCTGCTCGATCTTTACATGTTACAAACTGCTGGGCAACTGTGGCTCCAGACAAAAGACATCATCTTTGCTGGCCCACAGGAGCAGTGTGTGACAGCAGTGAAGAGGGCTCAGTGGAGCACCCCCATTTAAAGATGCAGATCCAGCCTTCGGCTCTGTCAAGAAAGCCTGACTGAAATCTGCCCAAGCTCCCTCTAGCTGCAACCTGGACTTGCACGCAGCTGGATCGCCTCTCAACATTCAGAAAATACTGACCCCAGCAAAACAGAGTTTGCTGGTCAGAGGCCTCACTTGACATTCCCGTGGAGATGACCAATCCCCATGCTGCTTCGGGCTGGAGGTTAGGGAATCCACTCTGACCCGAGTGATGAAGCAGCCATTAAGCTTCCTTTCTTACTTGAAGTTCGTAATCATGTGTGCAGTCACCAAAAACACACACTGTGGGGCTGCCACCGTTTTTTCCAGCACTGGTTCTCCTCAAGCATGAAGAGGTATTGTTGGTCACAGCCAGTGACTACTTCACAACCCTGGCTATTTTCACCCAACGTTCAAACAATCCTTCAATTCTTCAGAGTGAAGGAAGGAGATGAAAGCCAGGGAATTTGCCTAACTTCTCAAGAGCCAAAGGGGGCTGCCCTTCAAAGCAGCTGTTGTGTGCTGTGACCTCAGGGAGGTATGGGTGCTTTACAGTTAGGTAACAGTACCTGTGAGGTTACAGGAAGTAAAACAACAGCAAAAAAAAAAAACAAAAAACACTTCCTTACTATCTTAGACCTACCCAGAACAGTATATCAAGAATACCAACTCAATAAATACCACAGAAAAATGAACAGCAGAGCTGGGATATCTACCAAGCAGGAAGGCAAAATGGTCATTAGAATTTCTGAGGTTAATGAGCCACCTTTTAAAGCACTGCCATCGGGTCTCCCAGTCGGCACTCTCCATTTGTCACCACACGCGCGAGTCAATAAATGAGCCCAACGACTGCGGCGTGATGCTCACTTACACTTGCAGGCGCCCACCCTCACTCGGAGCTGGAGGTCCCAGCACGCCCCACAGTGCCAGGGAGAACAGTCTCAGGGGAGTCTGTCTCTGAAGGTCACTTGCCCCTCTTGCCACGGCCCTTCCTGGAGGGCAGCCTGCCACTGCCCCCGGAAGATGAGGAGCTGGAGGCTGTGGCCATTGCAATGTTGATCTGTCCCTCCTGGATCTCCTGGCGGGTCTCGGCCGGCAGGTGGCTGATCTTCTGCTGCGCCTCCAGGTAGAACATGACATCGCGCAGCTGCTCCTGGATCTCTGCTATCTGCAGGTCTTTCTGGTCGCAGGTCTCCTTCAGCACCCTCTCCTCCTCCTTCAGCTTGTTCTGCAGGAGGACTTGGTTGGCTCGCAAACATTTGTTCATTTCCTGCTCCTCTTTGAGCTCAGTGGTGAGCTTGGCCACTTTTGTGTTTAGCTGAGTGCACCTTTTGCAAAACAAAGGAAGACAAAGCACATTTTGATTTGCTGACACAGTCCTCTCTCTGCTCTGGGACAGCACAGAGGAGCCTTGGCTCTGGCTCAGCCTCTGACCCTGCCCTCCTAAGCCGAGCTCAGCTGCCACTGAAGTCAGCTGCACAGATCAAGCACTTTGCCCCAGGTAACCCAGGCATTCCTGCAAGATGCTTCTTGTTTAAAGCACTGGATTGTTTAAAGCAGCGATTCTGTGACTCAGGACAGAATTTGTACTTCTCTGCAGTCAGTGGCATAAACAGGTGCCTGAGCAATCGCTGGCCTAAGGAAATTATGAGGACAAGTGACATTCTTGGAAAGTCAAGTGCTCTGACCTCACTGCATTTGCTGGAGAAGGAAAAAGAAAGTGCTTATTCTAACTGAAGGGTCCTTAAGATGTGGCAGTGCCCCATACTTGCTGCCCAATCCTACTCATAAGTCAAGAATCACCAATTAGGCACCATCTGAGATAACACCTTCATGTGCCAGCATGCCAAGGAGCTCTGACAGGGGAAGAGGCCCTCCTGCACACTGGCACTGGAGCACAGCAATGGTTACACAATTATACAGTTATTGCCCTTCTAGGAATTTGTCCTTCAGAATAAAGATACTCAGGACTATCCAAAAAGACACATGGAGAAAGATGCTTATGGTGGTGTAAGACTTAGGATGATTTAAACGGCTATTAAAAGGGAACTGGATAAAACTGAGTGGGCATCTGGCATAGTGTAGGTCACTGCTTGGAGCATCTAAATCCCATACTAAGAGTATTTGGGTTTGAGTCCTGGCTCAAGTTCCAACTCTAACTTCCTGCTAATGTGTACCCTTGGAGGCAGCAAATGGTAGTAGCTCAAGTATCTGGAATGCCTGCCCCACATGGAACAGTTAGATTGAGTTCCACATCCCTGGCTTTTTCTGGTCCAGCCCTGGCTGATGTGGGCATCTGGAGAGTGAGCCAGCAGATGGAAAAACTATCTGTCTCACTGCCTTTCAAATAAACTGGAAACCAGTATGATGCATTCATATGTTAGCGTACCATGTTACTGACACAAAGATCAACATGAGCCTAAATGTATAGCATGAAAACAAATCTCCCAGATTTTTTACCAAACAGATAAAACTACTAATATACTTTTGCAGAAAAAAAAGATTCTGTGAAACCCGTGGGCAGAGCTAAAGATCTGGAAAAATAGGGCCTGGCGGCGTGGCCTAAAGTCCTTGCCTTGAACACATCAGGATCCCATATGGGTGCTGGTTCTAATCCTGGCAGCTCCACTTCCCATCCAGCTCCCTGCCTGTGGCCTGGGAAAACAGTTAAGGATGGGCCAAAGCTTTGGGATCCTGCACCATGTGGGAGACCTGGAGGAGTTCCTGGCTCCAGGTTCCGGATCGGCACAGCATCGGCCGTTGTGCTCACTTGGGGAGTGAATCATCAGATGGAAGATCTTCCTCTCTGTCTATCCTTTGTGTATATCTGACTTTGTAATAAAAATAAATAAATCTTTAAAAAAAAAAGATCTGGAAGAATATTCACTGGCGTCACTCATAATTGTTCCTCTGGGGCTGGCACTGTGCCACATTGAGTAAAGCTGCTGCCGAGGACACCAGGATCCCACACTGAAGCATCTGATGGAGCCCCAGCTGCTTTGATTCTGATCCAGATCCCTGCTAATAAGCCTGGGAAACCAGAAGCTGGTCCAAGTGTTTAAGACCCTGCCACCCATGTGGGAGACCCATGATACACGTCAGCAGGAGTGAAGACTAAAACCAGGCACTCAAGTATGGAATGCAGGTGTCCTGACTGCCATGCCATTCTATCTTTATAGACTTTGTACAATTCTAAGTTTGTTTCCAAATAAAACACTTCAGAACTTCTTTACTTAGGACCAATTACTATCTCTAAATTTATACTTTTATTGTGAGATACAGTTATTTACAGTATAGAACTTCTATCCATTTTTATTAAAGTAAAAATGCATTATTGAGCCCGGCATGATAGTCTAGTGGTTAAATCTTCGCCTCGCATCTCTCAGGATCCCCTGGGGTGCCAGATTATGTCCTGGCTGCTCCACTCCCCATCCAGCTCCCTGCTTGTGGCCTGGGAAAGCAGTAGAGGATGGCCCAAAGCCTTGGGATCCTGCACCTGAGTGGGAGACCTAGTAGAAGTTCCTGGTTTTGGATCAGCCATTTGGGGTGTGAACCAGTGGATGGAGGATCTCTGTGAATCTTTCCAATAGAAACAAATAATCTTTTAAAAGAAAGAAGAACAGTAACAGTAGCAGGGAATGTCCTTGCTGTGCTGTGTGAAGGTTTTGCTCCATATTCACTATCACCGACCTTTAATTCCTGTCCAGTGACACACACAGCCTCCAACAGCTCCAGCTGAGACAGAGTCTGTTTCCTTACTGTGAGCCCTCTGCTCCATGGCTTTGAGAAGCTTCCGGCTCTTTCTACAGGTGAATCTGGAAGATACCTGCACACAGCCCTGGCACAGACACCACAAGAGGGCACCGCATCCCACACCTGGGCACGGAACACTGCACTGCTTAATAAACGAGGAGTCACAGCGAGTTATGTAAGGACAGAGGAATACCTGGTGACACACTGGAAAGAGAAGGTGTTTCCAAAGGAATGAAGGGAATTACGTGCTTACCGTCTGTCACCATAAACTGGTCATTTTAAGGAACACACCCATTGTACCTACTTTCTTTCCATAGACTGCTTTTCTTTCAGGAGATCATTGAGTCTCTGCTCCAGGGTGTCACATTTCTCAATTGTTTCTTTGAATTTGGTCTTCATGTTGTTAATCTGGAAGGACAGAGATCACAGCCATTTGACAAAGCAAAGCTGGGTGGTCTCTGGATCCAGTCACAAGTCCCCCTCTCCCCAACAATTATATGAACACTTTTCCAAGCTTTTTATGAAACCTGAGAAGAAAAATTTCTTCCAGGGATGCCCAGGGTCAGTCGTTGCTTCTCCCTGTGCACACTCCATGGCAGGGGATGCTAACGGATACAGGGCTGGTCACAGGAGGACAGCAGCAGGACAAAGGATTGCATCATCCACTAACTTATAGATAAACATTGGGTCCTAGAAAACAAAGCATCTTTTCAAGCAGTTGAAGCTTTCTACTTAAAGCTGCCCTGGCCTCCGCTGCAGCCCTACCTCAAAGAAAACTTGAGTCCCAATGTTTTATTTCCCTGGTCTTTGGCCTGAAGAAATGCAACTGAGCCTAAAGAACCTTCCAGGATGTTGTAGGAACACAGGCTGAGCTCAGGGGTCTGAATGAAGCACTATGGGTGTTTGTGTTGGTGTATCTCGTAGAAAAAACCACCCATGAGGCTGCCGAGGGGCTGACAGGGCACCTTTCCGGGATGTGTGACCACCGTCCCACCTCTGCCAAGTGCGGACACAGGTGGCCTTTCCCTGAGGGTGCCTAAACCAATCTCCATTCAGAACTAGTCAGGTGACTTTCAGTGCCTCTGGGAAAACACCTTGACTCTTGGAAGGTTCTCATGAGAATCTCAGTAATAACTTTTCATTAAGTATAATTTTTAAATTGGAAAGGCAGATCAGATTTATGGTGAGAAGGAAAGACAGATCCTCCGTCTGCTGGTTCACTTCCCAAATGGCTGCAATGACCAGATCAACCAATCCGAAGCCAGGAGTCAGGAGCCTTTTCCTGGTCTCCCATGTGGGTGGAGAGTCTCAAGGCTTTGAGCCATCCTCCACTGCTTTCCCAGGCCACAATCAGGGAGCAGGATTGGAAGTGAAGCAGCCAGAACATAAACCGGTATCCATATGAGATCCTGGCACTTACAAGGTGAGGATTTAGCCACTAGGCTATTATGCCAGGTCCTAAAAATCATTTTAAAATTAGACGGCCCTGCATTGTGGTATAGCAAGTAAAGCTGTTACCTAAACACCAGCATCTCATATGAGCACCAGTTCATGGTCTGCCTGCTTCACTTGGATTCAGCTTCCTGCTAATGACCTGGGAAAATCAACAGCAGATGGTCCAAATGCTTGGGCCCTGCATCCACCAGGGGACCTGGATGGACTTCCAGGCTCCTGGCCTCAGCCTGGCCCCGCCCTGACTACTGCGGTTGCTTGGGGAGAGAATTGGCAGATGAAAGACACCTCCTTCCTTTTTCCTTCTCTTTCCCTCTCTTTTACGCTTTGTGACTCTTAAAAAAAAAAATCTCTAAAAACACTGAAGTTAAACATGAATTTTTTTTAAAAACCCTGATTTTGGGCCTGGCATGATGGCTTGCATTGCAAGCCTGGGATCCCATATGGGTGCTGGTTCTAATCGCAGCGGCTGCACTTCCCATCTAGCACCCTGCTTGTGGCTTTGGAAAGCAGTCGAGGACGGCCCAAAGCCTTCGGACCCTGCACCCAAGTGGGAGACCTAGAAGTTCCTGGCTCCTGGCTTTGAATTGGTTCAGCTTCAGCTGTTGTGGCTACTTGGGACTGAACCAACGGACAGAAGATCTTTCTGTCTCTCCTTCTCTTTGTATATCTGCCTTTCCAATAAATAAATAAATCTTAAAAGAAATAGATTAAAAGATAAATGAAACTGATTTCATAGTCTACTTGGAAACTGGGTCCCAATAGCATGGCATAAGCTGAGGCATTGTCTACTCAGTTGCTGCTCAGTCCTGACCACCAGGTTGCCCCAGCCCAGCTCTGTAGGCCCCCTTTGCAGCATCAGGGGTTGGCAGGGACTCACAAAGTCACCAAAGTAATCACATGCAAATGTTAAAAGTGCTTATCTAATATTAAGGGAATTACCACATTACAGAGTGTTTTGGTTTAGAAAACCACTCCTAGAGACTCCCTGGTTTTCAAACTTCCTTCTTTGGAACCCCCAGGGTTGCTTGAACAGTCGGGAGAAAAGGAAGAGTTGCCGGATTTCAGGCCCCTCCACCCCAGTGTCCACTGACGCCACATTCCTCTTTTCCATGTTACAGTAGTGAGTGGCATCCTGCTTAAAGGACTGTTTGCAAACATCTGCCTCTGGCCAGTGAAACACAAGGGCAAACAGCGAGGCCCAGGACCTCACCAAGTTCACTGCCTTTCATTCACTAGGCTCAGCATCATCCCGCTGCCTCAGAAGTCCATGCACTGCTCCCCTCAGCAGCTGTTCCCAAGATGACAACCAACTGGCTGGCTCAAATTACAAACTCCCATGCACATACTTCTGTTTTTTTTTTTTTTTCAAATGGAATTTTATGAGGCCTTAGAGAAGCTGACTGAAGGACACAAACAAACAGAATCTCCTAGAACCCTCCCCCACTCGGCAAATGCTCAGCCTTAAATCCAAGGTTGAACCTTTCAGAGGCAAAACAGTTCTTAGTTATCAGACTGCCAAGAGTTGAAGGCTCCTGCTTCCTTGTACTTTGCCTCCACCATCTGACTGTGTGGCCATGTGGCATCTCTGCAGTCACCAAACCAGACACTTACTTCCTCTGCTGTATCCTTCTCTATCCGAACTATCTTGTTTTCCCAGTAGATTCGTTGAGATTCCAGCTGACTTGTGAGTAGATATGAATACTGGAACATAGAAAATATCAAAACATAAGTGACAGCTGTCAACTTTCTGCAACCAATTTAAAATTCGACATCCATGATCTGGAAAATCAAAGCAGTCACGAGAATACATAGCCCTCTGGTTCCAATCTGGTCAACAAACACAGGGCTGGCGACACAGAAATGGCAACTGTACATCTGTCCTCCAGGGGCTATGATCTAGTTGGAGAAATGTACATTTATAAGAACTGACTCTGGCTGAGCTCCGTTAAGAACTGCAGGGGCTAGCACCATGGCATAGCACATTAAGCCTCTACCTGTAGCACTGGCACCCAGATGGGCACTGGTTTGAGTCCTGGCTTTTCCACCGTCAATTGAGCTCCTTGCTAATGGCCTCAGAAGGCAGCAGAGGATGGCTCAAGTCCTTGAGAGTCCCTGCACTCATGTGGGAGACCCAGAGAAAGCTGCTGGCTCTGTGTCGATCTCTTCAGACTAGCCCACCTCTGGCCACTGGAGCCATTGGGAGAATGAACCACAGGATGGAAGATCTCTTTTTGTCTCTACTTCTCTATGTAACTCTTTCAAATAAAATCTTTTTTTCCCCACTAAAACAAAACAAACCAAACCAAACAAAAAACTACAGAGATTTAAAACTCATGCATAACTTAAACCTACTCATTCATCTCCCTGCTTCCAGGAAGTTGCCCTGCCCTTCACAGCTCTTTCAGCCACGACTGTCACTGACAGCACTTCTGACATGAGCACTTCATCACCAGTTTCCACATCTGTCACCTGGATCTCCCAGTTCCACGGGGAACTCCCAGAAGACAAGCACTATGCCTTTATCTCTTTGTCTCCAGCATCCGGCCTGGCACCTGCTGAGTGTTACAGTTTGCTGCCTGACCTCATGGATGAGCAGGGCTGTGTAACTATAAAGAAAAGCAAGGTGGTCAATGACAGTAGGAGCTGCAGACCTGAAGGTGAGACCTTGCAAGGGCTCTTGACAGACAAGAGGAAACAAAGACCAAGGTTCTGATTCCAGAGAACTCCCCCAGACCTCGACAGAGCTCCACGCGCTCAGAATCTCTTTAGAGGTCAACTCTACACTGGTGAGGCTGGGGTGACAGAGCGACAGCACCCAGTGCAAGGCTGTGGGCTACTGCACGGAACAATGTGGACAGCGCAGTGAGGGTCAGCAGGTAGCACGGCCACAATTCTGCTCTGATGCACCGGAGGTGATGTGAACATGCAAAGGCAGGATGATCAGGAGGGCTGGGCCCCAGCACAGGGACTTCACTTCATACTCCAGCACCAGCAGCAGTGAAAGACAGGAGCCCTCAATAAAGGCGTCTCGAATGAACAAATGCCTGTGGACACTTACAAGCTACTTATTCTAAAAACTTAGTGAAGAGTTGTGTCTTTTCACGTACACATCCTACTTGATTGTTGTTACCTTAGTAGTAACAGCAGCCTTCAGGCCGTTGGACTGAAGCCTTGCAAATGAGCATGCTGTATAATGTCCATTACTTCCCAGCTTAAAGCATTCAGCTCAGGACCGGTGTTAACTTTCCCCTCGTTCACATTTGTACGGGAGGCTATACCGCTACCAAGAAAAGCCAGACTGGGATAACTCTGATGCCTCTGCAAGTGCATAAATGTCCTCGAATGGCTTTAAGTATACATGCATCCATTCTATAAAAACACATAGTTTGAGTACACAATTGAATATAGAAGCATCTAATTCATAGGACATCAGCACATATACATGAGAATGCTCCTGAGACACGGAAAACTCCTAACAGACTGTCCCATCTCTGACCAGATCTGTCCAGTTTCCAACTGCTCCTGTGAGGCCAATCACACCGAGTTAGAAATATCACATTGAAAACGGCAAACAACAGCACAGCTTAGACTTTCAAAAGAAAGCAGAATAAAAACAATTAAATAATAACTTCACAGTAATGACAGATCCTGGCTGGGGAGAAAAAAGGTTCAGATGCAGAGTTAATGGCAACATTAAAAGCCCAAACAATCCTTGCAGTGAGCGCAGTGAGCTGCAGGGACAGGTTCCCAGGGTAACCGCCGGCATCTTACCTCCAACTGTAAGGCATCGAGTTTCTCTTCCTGGCAGCTGTCACCCTCACATTCATATTGGACTATTTTTCCATCTGTCTTACTTGCAACCAGCCGATGGACATAATTATCTGAAGAGAACAGGGAGGCGGTCAAAGCATGCTTCTTCAGGATGAGAAAGGTTCATGCCCTTCACCTCTGACAAAGTTGGTTTTTTCCCCCCTAGATCTAAATTAAATTTCTTACAGTATTTCTTTAAAAGTAGGTTAAACCATTTGAACTTTAAAGAGTGTAACTGGGCAAAATTGGGAGCGTTACCCTTTATAACATCAGACTAGGGCCATCCCTAGGCAGCAGCACCCTAGCAGTCTCAGGGGTCACGGGAATTCCCGTTTGTGGCAGCCACCAGCGAGGTGTCATTGCAGGCTGTGATGGACAAAGGCAAGGCTGCACACAAATGCCGCCATACAGAATGAATCCAAATCAGAAAATGGGCATGGTGTTCACCTCCAGCGTAGTCCCAGACTCGGTGGTTGGTGAGCTGCATGGCGTACGTGTGCTGTGTCTCCTCAAAGTGCTTGTAGGCGTGTCGGCTGACATACCGTCCACATCCTATGTGGCCACAGATTAAACAAATCCAAAGGTTCTATCAAGAGGAAGGGAAGATCTTCATTGGGTAAGTAAAACTACGGACCTGGCCCATGTGGGGGAGCAGGGCTCCCGCAGAGACAGACCAGCGAGCTCGCACCACAAGAGGTTCCAAGCAGTGTGAACCTCATAGCCGACCATCACCGTCCATTTTCTGGCTCAATTGCCTTGCTCCGCTCTTAAGAGCACTATGTTAATAGCAAGGAAAAGATCCAATTATCAATAAAAGCCCAAGCCCTTTAAAAAGAGAACAAAGGCTTGAACAATTCTGCTTAGGAGTCACACAATTTTTTTATTCATATATCTCCTATATCAATATGAGAAAAAAAAAATCAGTTTCAAAAAGAATTCTTAGAAGAATGTAAACCACACTAAGCAGAAGCAAAGCCAGCCAAGGAAAGCTGTGTTCATTTTTCCCTTCTCCCGCCCATGACTTACTTCCTGAACACCACACTCAAAACACTTATTTTCTTCTACTGGCTCCGGCGTCTGACAGTACCGGCACACGGGACACCTGGCCAGGAAAGCAAAAGACAATGTGTAAAACCATCACTGTGCTGTTTAGGTCCCATAAGCAAGGGCAGCATTTAAAACACAAACTGAAGTCTCAAAGAGAAGGAAAACATAAAAAATCTTGATAAAGGAAAGAGGAAAAACATTGTCCTGCCAAACACCCTTTTCTCACTCATTTGTGGCTTTACTTTTTTTTTAAGTATTCTTTACACAGCTGAGAGGGATGCGAGCTCATGTGGGAGGGTCGAGGTACGGAGGAAGGTGGGTGGGTGGGACAAATATTTCAGTTCTTTATTTTTTCCTGTATCTGCAGGAAGGTGGAAGGGAGAGAGGGCCGCTTTCCACTGTCAAACTGCACCGGCACCTGCGGATGGCCTCTGCTTAGCTCAGATGGTCACAAAGGTAACTAGTCACGGTATCAATGCAGACTGGAGACAAGTTCATCTGTTGCATGTCTGCCTCTCACTGACACAGCTTTACTCCAGACATCTATATTCTCCCCATTTCCCAAACATGTGAATGCCTCAGAACGAACCCTGTCCTCTGCAGGCGGCTCCTAACAGCAACTCTCAAATCTACAGTACATCTTACTGAATTAAAATAATGGGGGATATTAATATGCTTTCCGAAATACACAAGCCATCTCATTTGATGACTATCATGTTGATACCAGTGCTCTATTAAGTATTCAAGTTTCACCACCCACTACCAAGTCCTGTGGTGGGTGGGACCAGAAGGGTGTAACCTTGGGGTCCGGCTAAGAGAACTTCCACAGGTCCCAGGCCGGGTCGGACTCCATGTGTGGGGCCTTGGCTCAGCCACCGCAAACATGTGGTGACCTGGGCCTGGGCCTGCCTGGGCTCAAGAGGTTTTTCCCTTCCTGGTGAGTGCTGAGTTCCCACTGAGAGGGGAACATTAGGGAACAAGGCAGGCATGGGTCCCCCCCCCCCCCACTGCCAACATCGTGTGGTGGGTGGGACCAGGAGGATGCGACCTTGGGGTCTGGGTAAGAGAACTTCCAGCAGAAAGAATAAAAAAATAATAAAATTTTAAAAATGAAAAAATAATAATAAAGTATTCAGGTTTCAGTTGGGTCCAGCGCGATAGCATAGTGGTTAAAGTCTTCACCTTGAACGCTCCGGGATCCCATATGGCGCTGGTTCTAACCCCGGCAGCTCCACTTCCCATCCAGCTCCCTGCTTTTGGCCTGAGAAAGCAGTCGAGGACGGCCCTAAGCCTTGGGACCCTGCACCCACATCGGAGACCTGGAGGAAGTTCCTGGCTCCTGGCTTCGGATTGGCACAGCATTGGCCATTGGCAGTCACTTGGGGAGTGAACCATTGGATGGAAGATCTTCCTCTCTGTCTCTCCTCCTCTCTGTATGTCTTTGTATTAAAAAATAAAGCTTTAAAAAAAAGTTTCAGGGTGCAAAAAGCCAGTTACAACTACAGTGAAAAAAAAAACTGGGTCTGACACGGCAGCTTAGTGGCTAAATTCTTGCCCTGCATCCATAGGGATCCCATATGGGCTCCAGTTCTTGTCCTGTGGCCCACTTTCCATCCAGCTCCTTGCTTGTGGCCTGGGAAAGCAGTGGAGGACGGCCCAAAGCCTTGGGAGCCTGCATCCACATGGGAAATCTGCAAGAAGCTCCTAGCTTCAGATCGGCCTAGTTTCAGCCATTGTAACCACTTGGGGAGTAAACCTGCAGATGGAAGATCTTTCTGTCTGTCCTCTCTGTAAATCTGCCTTGCCAATGAAAATAAATAAATTTTTTTAAATAAAAAAAATCCATTAACCCTTTCTACTATACTCAAGACAAAGTGCGTGTTTCTCAGGAGTGTATGTGAGTATGTGTAAAACATTTATTGATATGGCTTCTCTCTTGGTCCCCCAGGCTCCCACCACTGCAGGTGAGGGGTGGAGCAATGAGGAAGCCAGGCAGGGCCCTGCTGCTGACAGCTGGCATTCTTCTTCTAGCCCCTGGCATCCTGTGGACATTCACCCTCTGAGCCCCTGGACTCCTGCCCTGCATACCTCTTCCCCCACACTGCCTTCCGCCACTCCTCCCCCTGGCAGATGCATTTCCGGAGTCCCTGGATGCATCTGCCCGCTGCTCTTTTCTAACACTGGTTACGGCTGTGAGTTCACATTTAAGATGTGATCATGCAATTCACAGTCATTTCCCTGTACTGGGAAATTCCTGAGGTGACCATCTGGTATACCTTTGTAAGTCCCATACTATAGCCTGCAAAGGAGGCAAGCATCCTAAAAAAAATGTAAAATGTACCAAATCCACCTTAGTTCTTGGCAGCCACTACTGGACACTGAATAATCAAGTCTGATAAAGCTAAAAATGTTGGGCCTGATGTTGTGGCATAGTGAGTTAAGCAGCTGACTGCCACCCTAGCACCCCACACGGGCACCAGTTCATATCCTGTCTGCTCCACTTCTGATGCAGCTCCCTGCTAGTGGCTTGGAAAAAGCAGCTGAGGATGACCCATGTGTTTGGGCCTGAGTCACCCATTTGGGAGACGTGGATTAAGCAGCTGGCTTTAGCCTGGCTCAGTGCCAAGCACTGCAGCCATTTAGGGAGAAAACGAGCAGAAGGAAGATCTGTCTTTCAAAATAAATAAATCTGCAAACGAAACCAACAAAACCACCCTTGAAGTGATAGCCTGTGCAGCCAAGTGACTGGCAGACAGTGCAGGTGAGCTTCCACCTGCCACAGCCTCTGGCTCTCCGAAGTTAAGGATGATTCACGTTCCTTTGGGAAATTCTACGATTCAGAATCAGCATTCCAAAAACGACGTGCTCTAAGCCTGCAGAGTTCCACGTGACTTGAGAGGGGAAAGAGAAATTGCAAGGACTATCCCTGTTTCTAATTACTGTAAAGCCAGGTTTAGAAAGTCAAAAACTGGGGCTGGTGTCACGGGCTCAATTTTTAACTCTCCTCCGGCAAGCACCAGGATCCCATATGAGCACTGGTTTGTGTCCTGGCTGCCCACTTGCCACCTGCTTGCTTGTGGCCTGGGAAAGCAGTGGAAGCTGGCCCAAAGCCTTGGAACCCTGCACCTACATGGGAGAACTGGAACAAGCGCCTGGTTCCTGGGTTCAGATCAGTCATTTCTGGTCATTGTAGCCTCTTGGGGAGTGAATCAGCAGATGGAAGATCTTTCTCTGTCTCTCCTCTTTGTAAAATCTGCCTTTCCAATAAAAACCAACTGGAGGGCCCAGCGCCATGGCCTAGTGGCTAAAGTCCTGGTCTTGCACATGCCGGGATCCCATATGGGCACCAGTTCTAATCTGGGCGGCCCACTTCCCATCCAGCTCCCTGCTTGTGGCCTGGGAAAGCCGTCAAGGATGGCCCAAAGCCTTGGGACCCTGCACCCACATGTGGGAGACCCGGAGGAGCTTCTGGCTCCTGGCTTTGGATCGGTGCAGTGCCAGCCGTTGCGGTCACTTGGGGAGTGAATCATCGGACGGAAGATCTTCCTCTCTGTCTCCTCTTCTCTGTATATTTAGCTTTCCAATAAAAATAAATAAATCTTAAAAAAAAAAACCAACCAAAACCAACCAACAACAACAAACTGGAGGCCTTCTGGATTCCAGGAGAGGCCACGGTGGGTGGTGACAGGGTGGGCACAGCCCCGGAACTCACGTGGTGTCGTCCCAGCGCTGCAGACACTGGCTGTGGAAGCTGTGGTTGCACAGCGTGGTGAGGATGCCATTGACAGACTCGTCCATGCGCTCCAGACACACTGTGCATTTGGGGAGCTCAGTCAGGTCCATCACGGGGAGACTGGCGCCCTGCGGGGAGATACCTCATGGGAGCCTGGCTCTTCACCCGTCAGCAGTCCTGTTCGTTCACAACTACTTTCCTGAGGCTTTTTGACTCATGCCAGAATTTTCACAACATCACTGCTCTATATGAATAAAGCTAAGATTCCCAGTGCTCGCTCAGGCACTGGGAATACAGAGGTGAACAAAGTGGGCCAGGATCCCTGCCGTGACCGGGCTGACAGCCAAGGAAGGGAGACACTGCCAAAGCCTGAAGGGTTCAATGTGTGTCCAAGAACACTCTACAGGTATTTCAAAACTTTGGTGCACCAAATAAACTTCATTTGATTCCACATTCGCACATTAGCCGTAAATGACTCTAAACAACCCAAAGGACTAAAAGATAGAAGAGCAATGGGGCTGAGTGACTGCTCCACAGGCCAACTGATTGATAAGAGCATCAGACACTTGATGTACTTATTAAACACCTATTTACTAAATTCCTGACACTGTTCTATGTGTGGAACAACAGCAATCAAAAGCAGGTTTGGTTGGCCTCAAAAAATGTGTCTGCCCTCAGAAAACTTAAATTCTACTAGAGGAAGAGACTGAAAAGTACTGGGGAGCACGACCTTGGGGACACATAAGTCTAAGTGTCAGGGACAACATCTCACTTGAGCAGCAGCCGCCCACGTGATGGTGGGGAGCACACATCTAGGGACACACGAGTGACAGCACGGACTGTCAGGTCCCAAAGAGCCAATGTGAAAAGCGGACCACGCAACAAGTTATTCCTCATGAAGGGGAAGCCACCTCTAGTACTTACCCAGTTTTATTGTCTCTCAGTGTCAGAATGACCACCTCAGAACTTAGTTCCCTCATACCAATTTCAAGGAAAAAAATACCTTAACATATACTTTCAAAGAAAAGAAACCTTAAAAACTTGCAGCTTTATGACTCAAGCACTTATTGTAGGATGAATTCCCAAGATGTCACAGGGGCTCCCATCATTTACAAATCTCTATCAGAAAAGAATCAAAAACTTGGAAGCAGGTTAAGGGCTGGTGTTAAAAATAAAGCACTTTTTTTTCTGGCTCCAGGCAGTGTTCTAATGAGCTGGAATAAATCTTTCTTTTTTAAACACTTAATTTCAACAAAGCAGACATCTTTTCCCCCCTAATTTTGCAATTTCAAAAAAATGCTGTGAAATTTACATAACACTCTCCATTTTCAAGTGTGTCAGTATTCACAGGGTTGTGCAAACATCACAGCTATCTGATTGTGGAACATTTCTCTCACCCCCTTAACTGTCACTCCCCATTCTTCTCTCTCTTCACCCCTGCAAACCAGTAACCTCTTTCCTGCCTCTCTGGACCAGCCTATTCTGGACATTTCCAAAGGTCACTAAACATTCAGTTTCATCTCAGCTGAATAGGAGGGCTGTTCATACTTACATCTTCAGATTTCAGCACTTCCGCCCTCTCTACGTAGACCAGCTGGCAAACATCATCTTCTATGGAGTTGAACTGGCGGCCATTGCATGCCATATAAAAACTATCTGCATCAGTCTAGGTAAAGCAAAAAGAAAAACAGTTAAGGCAGAAGTCCTGAAAAACCTGCGTTACACTACAGACGCATGGTTGACGCTGAGAAGTCGCAGGTCCTGAAGCCGGCTGGTCAGCTCCTCGAGCCCTGGGGCTCACAAGTCTGCATCCTGACAACACTCCCTGGGCCGCGGGAGGGCAGTCAGCAACTGCAGCAACTGCAGTCAGCAAGCTGACAGCTAGCTCAATTTTAATATTCAATCAGCAATAATCAACATTTCCCTCATGATAATTTTCTCCCCCTAGTCATCACTTTCACAGTAGCTGAAAACACTCATTTTTGCAAAGCTTGAATCTAAATCATAACTGCTGAATCCTTTTTGAAACAAGTATTGGCATTTATGCTAAAAAGAAATAAGATCAGTGGAACTGGTATGGGGGAAAAAAACAACAACTCTAGCTTCTCTTCAATAAACCAAATACACCAACTCCACAGGGAGTTTCTAACACCAAAAGTAAAAGCTCTTGGTCAAGGCCAAGGAGGTCCAAGATGAACCTCCTCTAGAACACTAACAGATGAAGGCACGTGGCTCAGCAGGGACGTCCTCAGTCCAAGCCCTGGCTGCAGCACCAAGCCCAGCTTCCTTACCGAGAGGCAGTATGCCGCCAAGCAGCTGGGCTCCTGTCACCCCCACAGGAGAGCTGGACTGAGGGCCTGGTTCTTGGTGTTGGCCTGGCTAGGCTCTGACTGTTACACATGACAACTGAGGAGCGGACCAACAGATGGGCACTCTCTCTCAAGGTTTTAGTTTTCGGTTTTGAAATATTAACAGTCTCATTCCATAAGTGGAAAACAGACGGAATAAGGAAAAACAGCATTATTTCACTAAAGCTGCAGAGGCACATGCACGTGTGTGGATGTGGGTGAAGCAAACCTCCTGAGCTGGCACCAGATGGACGAGCACAGAGAGGCCCGGCCTGCCTGGAGCCCCTTCCCATGTGCGCAGTGACTCAGCCACAGCAAGTTGTGTGGTTTGGCACTGCTGGTGTGTCAGAGCTGCTCGTTGGGGTTTCTGCCCAAGGACATGCTGCTCTGTGGGCCTCGAGGAAGAGGCAAGGCAGTACCAGACAAAAATCAGCCCTACCGGGCACCTCAAAGCCACCAGAAGCTGCTCAAACGGCTTTGAATTCCACTCCTGGGATGTCATTTAACTGTGCATTCTTGATTGGTTATGCTTTCTTAATACGACCAGGTGAGCCAAGCAGCCGAGTAGGGCCAATTGTGAATGCAGTTTCACTAGGGATAGATGGGGTAGGGACATGTGAGAGGGTTTCCCTTCAGGAGCCAATCTGTGCATCGGGAAGTTTGTTTAAACTTCAAACTATTTTTTTTAAAGATTTATTTACTTATTGGAAAGTCAGATATACAGAGGAGGAGAGACAGAGAGGAAGATCTTCCGTCCGATGATTCACTCCCCAAGTGAGCCCGACGGCCGATGCTATGCCGATCCGAAGCCAGGATCCAGGAACTTCTTCTGGGTCTCCCACTCAGGGTGCAGGGTCCCAAGGCTTTGGGCCATCCTCGACTACTTTCCCAGGCCACATGCAGGGAGTTGGATGGGAAGTGGAGCTGCCGGGATTAGAACTGCGCCCATATGGAATCCTGGCACGTGCAAGGCGAGGACTTTAGCCGCTAGACCATGGTGCCGGGCCCATTACTTAAAACTATTTTCAAGTCAGCTGCTGGACAGTAAGTCCCCCATATAACTCATTTAAAACGGCTTCCTTCTTCCAGAGCCGTCACTTTCTCTTGAGATGCTTCTTGCTGAGTAAGCTTACAGGCACACAGAGTCAGGCCACTGAGAGAATGGACTGCTGAGAGGGCAGGCCTGGCTCAGCCCTCAGGCCGTGCAGCACCCCCAGGACCTGGCAGTCCCTCCTTGGACCCCCAGCTTACGATAGCTGTGGAGGAAGGGCCCAGGCATATGAGCTGGTTCACTCACCAGCGGGCAAGCTGTTCCATTCCTGGGGAGCTGCTGATCTACACTCCAGGAATGTGGTTTCTGAAACGAGACCATCCCTGCAGAGTTGAGGTACCCCACTCTGAGCATGGTGCTATCACTGCGACCTTGTACATGCCAGGCAGTGTGCGGGGAACAGGATGGACATGCTTACTGCGTCAATCTATCACCCAAATACACAAAATAAAGCCTAAAGCTAACTGCAAAGTGCATGCAGGAAACATTTATCTTAAATATCTGCACTATATGGCCCAGTTCAATGGCTCACTCGGCTAATCCTATGCTTAGAAGTACTGAGATCACATATGCGCACAGGTTCGTGTCCTGGCTGCTCCACTTCCCATCCAGCTCCCTGCCTGTGGACTGGGAAAGCAGTGGAGGACGGCCCAAAGCCTTGGGACCCTGCACCCTGTGGGAGACCCAAAAGAAGCTCCTGGCTCCGGATCGGCTCAGCTCCGGGCTTTGTGGTCACTTGGGGAGTGAACTAGAGGATGCAACATCTGACTCTCCTCTTTGTAAACCTACCTTTCCAATATAAATACATCAATCTTTTAAAAAATTGCATTATATGGGGCCAGAAACACAAGAAATCCAGCTTTTGTTTCTTCTTAGTCCTTTGTTTTTATTCTTGTCTGAGGATGAACCCAGGAAGGTCAAGTCCATTATGATCAGGGTTCCTTCACTGACACAGGGATCAACTTCACAGTGAAGCATCGACTTTTCCTTCTCTCGAGCGGAATCGCTGAGACCGCCCTAGCTAAGCATGCAACTCACAGCAGCTAACATATTCTACTGAGGAGTCCTTTTTTTGTCCCCAAGAACATGTGCCTTTAAAAAAAAAAAAAAAAAAAAAAAAGATTTATTTGTTGTTTGTCTGTTTTGAAAGTCAGATATACAGAGGAGGAGAGACAGAGAGGAAGATCACCTGTCCACTGATTTACTCCTCAAGTGACTGCAAAAGGCTGGTGCTGCGCTGGTCTGAAGCTAGGAGCCAGAAACCTCTCCCAGGTCTCCCACATGGGTGCAAGGTCCCAAGGTTTTGTGCCGTCCTCGACTGCTTTCCCAGGCCACAGGCAGGGAGCTGGATGGGAAGTGGAGCTGCCAGGATTAGAACTGGTGCCTATCATATGGGATCCTGGCACATCCAAGGCAAGGGCTTTAGCTGCTAGGCTACTGCACTGGGCGCCTACTCACCTCATTTTTATATTCATCTAGGAACATGCATTCTCTCAAAGGTGAATATGGAAAGCCTAATTTCTTTAAAACAGAGGCTCATGCAAAGTGCTGTTAATGCAATAAGTGAAATGGAATGGATAGCAACACTTTCCTGCATCAATATGGACCTGCTTGCTATCACACAGAGGCACTTTCACAAACTGAACAGACTGCTGCTCTTCCAGCACATCTGCCCTCTGCTGTCAGCACTTCCAGTCAGAGCTCTAAAAGCATCTTCAATATTTAAAGGAATGCCACAAAAGCCCTCTTGTCATCAAAACTAGAGGCATAAAATCATTATTTTTATAAAATGTGCCAAAAGGCACCTTTTTTCAAAAAGAAAATGAAAGAAACAGGTGAAAGTAAGACAGTGTCAATGCTGACCCAGCTCCCTGCCAACGGCTGAGGAAAGCACTGGAGGATGCCCCTAATCCTCAGGCCCCTGCACCCACGTGGGAGACCCTGTGGGGACCGAACCAGCACATGGAAGACATTCTCTATCTTCCCTTCTCTTTCTGAAATTCTAACTTTCAAAAAAATAATAAAATCTTTTTTCTTAACATTTGTTTTTATTTGAAAGGCAAATTTTTATATATAGAGAAAAGATCTCTCTTACTCCCCAAATGGCCATCACAGCCAGAGCTGAGCTGATCCAAAGCTGAAAGCCAGGAACTTCTGGGTCTGCCATATGGGTGCAGGGTTCCAAGGGCTGGGAGCACCCTCCACTGGCTTCTCAGGTCACAGGCAGGGAGCAGGAGCAGAGGTGTATCAGCTGGGACACGACCAGCACTTCTATGGAATGCTAGCGCTACAGGGTGGAGAATTAAGTTTGCTGCATCAGCATGCAAGCCTGAAAAATAAAGTTTTAAAAAGGGAGGGAGGGGAACCCCCAGCGTGGTAGCCAAGCAGCTAAAGTCCTCACCTTGCCCACCTGGGATCCCATGCGGGTGTCAGTTCTAATCCCAGTGGCCTGCTTGCCATCCAGCGTCCTGCCTGTGGCCTGGGAAAGCAGTAAGGATGGCCCAAAGCCTTGGATCGTGCACCTGTGTGGGAGACCTGGAGGAAGTTCCTGGCTTCAGATTGCCTAAGCACTGGCCGTTGCAGCCACTTGGGGAGTGAATCAGCAGATGGAAGATCTTTCTCTCTGCCTCTCCTCCTCTCTATATATCTGATTTTGCAATTAAAAAAAAATTTAAGATGGTGTCAACTTAAATTGTGGGAACTACTGCTCTAAGGTAATCGTTACTACTGGATAAACAAAACATTAGTTTTTTTTTTATGTCTGATTTGACATATTAAAAAAATTGCAAGCATCAGGCAGGCACTTGGTACAATGGCTGAGATGCCAGTAGAGGGGCTGGCACTGTGGCATAGCACATAAAACCACTACTTGCAATGCCGGCATACTAGACGGGCCCCAGTTGGAGACTGAGCTGGATCATTTCCGATCCAGTCCTCCATCAATGCACTTGGGAAAGCAGTGGAAGACAACCCAAATCCTTGGCCCTCTGCGCCCACGTGGGAGTCGCAGAAGAAGTTCCAGGCTCCCAACTTTGGCTTGGCACAGCCTGGGCCATTGTGGTCATTCGGGGAATGAACCCAGCAGGTAGAAGATCTCAATTTATTTTTTGGCTCACCCACATCCTATCCTATACTGCAGTATCTGGATTTAAGTTCCAGTTCCAGCTTCCCACTAATGCATACCTTGGGAAGCAAAAGGTGACAGCCCAAGCACTTGGGTCCCTGCCACCCACGTGGGACAGCTAGATGGGCTTCTGGGCTCCTGGCTTTTCACTAGGTCCACCTCCAGCTTGACAGGCATTTGCGAAGTGAACCAGCAGGTGGAAGATCTCTATCTATACACTTTACAAATAAGTTATAATTTTTTCTAGAATCGTAGCTATGAATTTATAATTGTATTTTTGCTAATAAATTTAGATACACATCTAGAATGATAATACTCCTGAAGATATCAAGAACCGTGAGTGCAAAAACATCATAAATCATACGCGCCCACATGGGATCCCGGGCGTGCAAGGCGAGGACTTAACCACTTGCGCCACCGCGCCGGGCCCCATACACAACCACTATTAAACAGTTTCCAAAACACAATTTCTGTGGTAAAGACTTTTTTTAATATCTTAATGTTTACCTGTGCACTAAACTTTATCAGCACCATGTACTGATTTGGAGTGGAGTCTCTGATGATTTTCATTTGCTCAATTACGTCATTAAACGGGGCGACAAACTTCATAAGGTCATGACTGGTCATTGTGGCGGGGACTGTGAGGATACACAGCATGGCACTGCGTCTTACATCTTCCTTCAAGGAGGTCATCTTACTAACAAGACAACAATTAGACTGGTTTAAATAGACAAGGTATGGTTAGTTCAGACAACGTTAATTAGATAACCTTATAAGAAAAGAGGAAAAAGTGAAACTTAATGCTTCACAAATCAATCTAAACAGCTTGTCATCTTATTTGAAAGTACACACTAGATAGATAAATACAGAATTCCTTAACTGTATCTGCAGTGCAGTTTAAAGCAAGTTTTAAAATGTTCTAAATCACACACACACGCCCCAGCTGACCCCACCTCTGGGATTTCTACTCTTCAGCTAAAGGCTTGTTATGTTTGTAAGTCTGCAGTAGGCAATTCTTATAAATCACAGCCTGTTACTGGGTAACGCTGAGAGCATGACTCCAGCTCGGACCTCTCAAAGGACGGGGAAGAGGTGAGCGCTGAAGAGCTCGGTCGCTAAGGGAGAATTGTAAGCCACAAGGACGTGGTGATTACTTCACTAGGTGCTGCCGGGCTAGAACAGCCAGACTGGGGGAAAAGAAAATGCACTCACAAAGCCACGTGCTTTTGAAATGCTGTGATCGAAAACGGCTAGCTGAGCAGTCACTGTTTTCCCAGAAGGGAAACTTCCTTGCAGGGACAGTCCTCATTTGCAAGGCCAGTCCATCTGACAACAGCCACCAACAATCAGAGAGTGCGCGGATTATCTAGCCTAGCACTTCTCTGAGCAAGCTTTTTATTGATCACAGAAAAGGGCAAAAAGTAATAATATGAGCATCAATTAAGTGACTTCTAAGCAGCCTGGTTAGTAAAAATTTGGCGGGAGGAAGAGAGGATGGTAATGCTATAGGTCACTTTCTATGTTCTTTTTTAAAATCATCCTTCTGGTCTCCTTCATTATCCCCTGATCAACTACGTAAACATCATGAATTCTAAAACTGAAAAAATGAAAAAAAGAAAAAAATCCTTCCTTTAAATCCCCCAGTTGCCATCCACACCCACTTGCAAGGTAATACATACCCAGGAACCTACACGGACCTTTTTTTTTTTTTTTAAAGAAAAAGCTTCAACCTTCTGCCACAATCCACAAGATCAATCAAATGTAAAACATTAGCATTCTTTAATAGAAACCCTACTCAGCATTCCAAAGTTTAAAACATCCACCGTCTTCCTATGCAGGACTCTCCTCTTCCAACACACACAAGAGTGAACAAGCAACAATGAGAAAAGGGTTCTTACTTCGTTTTGTACAGATGCATAATACCATGAACTATTTCGACGGAAGGATTGCCGCTGAAGAAAGAGATCTGGCCCGGCAGCTGTTTGGACGGGGAGTCAGGAGCGGTACTGCTGCCTTCCGTGCTCGGACCTCGGCTTCTCGGGGCAGCGGGCGATGCTTCCCAAGACGCTGTTTCTTCCACCGCATCTTTTGGTTCATCTTTCACAAATCAAAAATGAGCATATTATAAACGAACAGGAAAAATGCCAAAGGATTCCAAGTGCATTCAGATTTCATGAAGGATAAACAGAAACCACAAGGTGCTACTTAAGAGCTAGATCCGAGGGGGGGGGGCATTTTTGCAGAGCCCGTTAAGCTGTGGCTTGTGACACTTGGCATCCTGTAGCAGAGTGACAGTCTGAACCCTGGCAGCTGTGGTCTCAATCCAGACTTCCTGCTAATACGCCTGGGACTGCAGCAGCAAGCGGCCAAGTGCTTGATGCCAGCCACCAACAAGGGAGACGTAGTTACGGCTTCCGGCCTTGACCCTGGCCCAGCCAAAGTTGTCACTACATGGGGAACAAACCAGCAGATGGAAGATCTCTGTCTCTCCCTCTTTCTCCATCTCATTGCCTTCCAGAAACGTCAATAAATCAACAACAACAACAACAAAAGATCTGTATTCACAGAACTGCCACTGTTAAGGGTACTTCCATTTTAAAACCCACTCTGGCCTATAGAATCCTCTGTTAACACTCAGAAACCTAACACTGGCTCATCTACTCAGCTCTATCGTAAGGCAGGCAGGTGTCTGGCACCACCCACTCCAAGTGGGCCAACACCTTGTGCTACAGCAGCCTGAAAGCCAAGCGCCCCCCATGGTGACCACCTCCACGCTGCAGCCGCAGGGCATCCATGCACTCCCCTGGCCGGGAGGAGCTGGCAAAGCAGGCTGACCCACAACAGGCTTCTCTGGCTGGAGGCATCACCTGCCAGACACTTGGGCAGCAAGTAGCTCTCCCCTTCTGAATACAGTTGTCAGCCCACTTTGTTACGAGCCATTTATCAGAGAATGGGGCTTTGTGACCTCATGGAAAACACACAGGCAGTGAGATAAAAGCCTGCTGCAGGTATGACGTGCACGGGGCAAGGGCCCCGAGTGACAGGCCAGTGCAGGGTCTCCGACGGCGTACCTGGGCTTGACTTCATGGTCTCAATGATGATGTCGGTCATCTCCCGCCGGCCAAGGTGCTGGTGGATGACCGCCGCCTTCTCCCCGGGTGACTTCCCTTCCAAACAGGCTGCGGCGGAAGCCAGCGCCTTCTGTTTGATCTCATCAGACATTTCCACAGCTAAAGAACACAGGAATGAAGAATACCTGAAAATAAAACAATCTCCTCTCCACCCCCAACTCAGCCATCCACAGAGCTCTCCTCTCTCTGCCGTCCCCCTCCCCCGCACCACTCCATGTTCACAAGGTACCTCCGCAGCATCCAGCTCACCTCTGGCACTCCCGTATGCCCAGCAAACAATCAGTGGCTAGCATGCTAAATCCAGAAACGCACAGCTGTTCCAAACCAACACAAGCACTTGAAACAAGCAGAACCGCAGGCCGGGGAGCCTGAGAGAAGCCTCACCACTAACACTTCAGTGTCTCCTATGTCATGGACCCAACCCTATAAACACCTTCTCTGTATGGGGCCCAAAATGAAGGAATCAAGCCAATAAAAAGCAAAATTCCAGAAGCAAACATCCTGAGTTACCCTCACAGTAATACGTGATTTCTAAGGAACCACATGTAAAGGGATAAAGGAGCTTGGAGATGTACCCGGAGTACCCCAAGCACAAGCTGCTAGGGAGGGCACCAGGTCTGCCTGCCCACCCCTGTGCTCCCAGCACTGGTTTAATTTGCAGCTCCAGAGTTTGTGTTCTTTATTTTAGGAAGGACAGAAGGTTCCAGCCTGCCGGGACAGATGACAATGACAACCTATTCAAGGACCTGCGGGAGCCCCCGCAGCAGTCCCCAGCGAGGAGGTGGGTGCCTGGGTGGGTGGCTGGCTGGGGGTGAGAATGGAACCACAATTTCACTGCTCGACCATGTGAACGCGCGCTACCGTCCATTTTATACAGTTGTTGCGTGAAGGAAATTCGGGAAAATAATCACACACCCGGCTGAGCTCGTGGGGCCGGGGGTGGCCAAGAGGCATCCTCCATGGAGGAGTTATTTATTATTATTATTATTATTATTACTACTATTGTTACGGGGCACAGCCTCGCAACCAGGAACGACTTAAACCTTCGGTGTCACGGGACCCAGAGAAGGAGTGGGGATGGAATGAGGCAAAAATACACCCCCAGACTGCGCAGCAGGCTCCTAACGCAGAAGGCCCCTGCGAGGGACTGGGGACGGGACCCCCGGAGACGACGACACCTGGGAAGGGCCAGGAAGGACCGACGGCCGGAGTCCGAGCGCCAGCCCCGGCCCCCCGCGAGGGAAGGCGCCGCGGCCACGACACTCACCGGCCGCGCTGAAGCCGAAGCCGGCGGGGACGGCCGAGTGTTCCGCGAGCTCGAGTCGGATGACCACCAGTGACACACTCATAGGGCAGGCGCTGGCCGGCGCGGGCCCCGGCGGGCTCAGGGGAGGCTGGGAAGCGAGCCGAGAGGCCGAGAGGCCCGGGGCCGGCAGCTCCGCCACCGCCTCAGCGCCTCAGCGCCGCCGCTGCCACCTCGGCAGCAGCAACAGAAGCAGCAGCAGCGGAGGTTCCGCGCGCGGCCCTCGGAACCACAACACCCTCCACTTCCGCCTCCCGGCCGCCGTCGCGCAGGCGCGGGGTCGCGCAGGCGCGGAGGCGGCCGCTCGGTGGGCGGGAGGCGGCGTGCGTGCCTGACGCGGCTGCCGGGAGAGGCCCCCGGGCGACCGGACGCAGCGCTTCGCTCCCCGGCCGCGGACGGCTGAGCGGTGGGTTGGCGTGCAGACCCGAGGCCCCTTCTGCCTGTCGCAGGGGGCATTCCTGCTCAGCAGATCTCGGCTGTCCCCGCCTTGTGCGGTACTGAGCTCTGACCCCGGCAAGGGCGACTTGGGCTGCGCTTCAGTCGTACGCTGGAGTTCGGGAGAGTTGGAGTTGCTCCTCTGAGCGCACCCCTTCCCGTACTCGATTTCAGGGTTTCCGACTCTCTAAAGGGAGGGCGATAGGCTGGTTGAGGGATCGGGGATCCTCCTCCGCGTCTGGCACCTCCCTGCCGACAGCGTGGGCACTCACTGTTTGGGGACTGGGGGTGCTGTCCTTGCCCTCAGGGAGTCGACCTGCGACCCCGGCGGTGCACCCTGGAACCGACTCGTTGCATAGGGTTGGAATGCTGTCTTTCCGGGTATTTATAAGGATGAACGGCGATGATGTTTGCAGAGCTTTCCTGGGTGCAGCATTCTTTGCAGCGTGTCAGACTGACTCAACCATGTCGATACCGACAAGCACATTATTACACATCTCCATGATGTCTCTGGCAGAACACCCCACCTGTGCATTTGATGAGAACATGGAGACAGCAGATCTAGCTTTTCATTTTGAGTGGCGGGGAGCAAACACTCTTTAGACAGTATAGAGGGAACACCAAGACTCCGGGAGGCAAGGTGGAGCTAGCTGTTCATGGCTGACCAAGGCTTTCCTCTGTTTTTTTTTTTTTTTTTAAAGATTTATTTTTATTATTTTTTTATTGGAAAGGCGGATATACAGAGAGGAGAGACAGAGAGGAAGATCTTCCGTCCGATGATTCACTCCCCAAGTGAGCGCAACGGGCCGATACTATGCCGATCCGAAGCCAGGAGCCTCTTCTGGGTCTCCCACGCGGGTGCAGGTTCCCAAAGCTTTGGGCTGTCCTCGACTGCTTTCCCAGGCCACAGGCAGGGAGCTGGAAGGGAAGCGGGGCTGCCGGGATTAGAACCGGCGCCCATATGGGATCCCGGGCGTGCAAGGCGAGGACCTTTAACCACTTGCGCCACCGCGCCGGGCCCAAGGCTTTCCTCTGTTTTGTCGACTTCATACTCCTCTGTTTAATGAGCTGCTAACCTCAAGAGCTTGCTTGAATAAGGCAGTCCGAGCTTAGAGACACGAAAGCCAGTTACTGACTGTGAGGTGGAGCTGGTACGTATAGTACTGTCTGGGTGGAAAAGCACCACACTCTCCTGAGAAAGAAGCCCTGGGTGCAGGAGGTACAGCAGAGGCCGGGCTGTAAGATCGGTGGAATGCAGCAGGTGGTTAAAGAGAAGGAGAATGTTTGAGTGGTTGAGCCCAGCAGGTTCCCAGGCCTGTACAGGGAAGGCATCACAGCGTGTCTACCTAGCGTCCCGGGGCAGTGGCCAGCACGGGCCCTGCACCCTAGTGGATGGCCCAAGCCAGCCGCTGCGGGCAGCACTGCCTGACCAGCCACGGGCAGCAGAAGGGGGTCTACTCCCTTCACCCCCCCCCAGCTCAGACTCCAGAGATGCTAAGCCCTCATCCAAAACATCCTGATGCCTTTACGAGCCTGTAAATAATTTCCTTGTTCTGTCAGGAACTTTGGCCGAGGCCTGGGAACCAACGTTAAGTAAGCCAAACGTGCACCTCGACCTCCAGCGTCCTTCTGATGACCGCGGAGGCCCACGCCGCCGCTCTCAAGACGTACTGTGTAAGATCTCTTCCTTTAGGTTCCTGTGTGGTTTGCCAGGTCCTCATGGCAGCTCTCAAGCGCCCAAAGGTGCCCAGAACCTTTGGGCTGCCTTGCCAACTTGTTTTCCTCTAACTTGATCCTTGGTAAACTTTTTAACTGTAGAATTCGCACAAAAAGCATAAGGATTTTCATGTGAAAAGCAGAATTTGCCTCGATTTTGTCATTTTTTTCCCTAGTATCTTTCATTAATATATAGAAAAGTTCAAAAAAATATAAGGATTTCAACACTTTTCATCTAGATTGACTTAACGTTTTACCATGACTTATCACTTCATATGTGATCCCCCAAACGTCCAGGTAGGGGCCTGGATTGGAAGTGGGAGACACCCACTGTGCCCTGTGCCTTCTTCCCACGCAGCTTCAGCCTCAACATGTGCATAAGAAGACTCTTACAGTCCTCCCACCTCCAGTGGGCCCGGCGAGCAACCTTCCTGAAACATGCCTGGCACGGGCACCGGGGAGCCCTCCGAAGCACCCATTCCGGAGGCAGCGCCTACAAAGCAGTGATTTTTGACATGGGTGGGGTTCTCATTCCTTCTCCAGGGACAGTGGCAGCAGGTGAGTTCTGTGTTGGGTTTCACTTCTGGGGGGTGGAAGGGGGAGGGATAGAGTGGAGGGTGGCTTATAAACTTATAATTGGCTATATGAGTTATTTTTTTTCTGATATTGTTTTTAACCATTCTATGTATTTGAGAGACAGAGTGCTTCCATCTGTTGATGTGCTCCCCATATGCCTTTGAGGGCCAAGGCTGGGCTGCAGCCTCAGACTGGGAGCTGAGCGCATGGCACAGGGGTTCCATGTGGGTGATGGAGACCGGTGATTGGAGCCTTCACTGAGGCCTCCTACAGTCAACATTCCCGGGGGGCTGGAGTTGGGAGCTAGAACTGGCTGTTTGTACTCCCAGCAGTGCTACACAAACAGCCTTGTGTCTCATCTTTGCTAACCTTTATAGCTGTGGAAAAATTCCTGAAAATGAATTTATTTTATCAAATACAGGTGCATTTAAGATTTTGACAGAAATGACCAAATTGCTCTCCATTGAGGCTGCAGTTAGGTGGGCTCCCATGAGCAGTAGAGGAGCATGCCCGCTTTCTCATATGCTTGCCAGCTCGGGCAAGCGTATGTGCAAAAGGCTGTCTGATTCAGATTGGCTCCAAAGTAAGGTTTTTTTGTTGTTGTTGTAAAGATTTATTTTATTTTTATTGGAAAGTCAGATTTGCAGAGAGGAGAAGAGACAGGTAGACTTTCTGTCTATTAGTTCATTCCTGAAGTGACTGCAATGGCTGGAGCTGAGCCGATCCAAAGCCAAGAGCCCAGAGCCTCTTCTGGGTCTCCCATGCAGGTGCAGGGTCCCAAGGCTCTGGGCCATTCTCGACTGCTTTCCCAGGCCACAGGCAGGGAGCTGGATGGGAAGTGGAGCTGCCGGGTTTAGAACCGGCGCCCATATGGGATCCTGGCACGTTCAAGGCGAGGATTTTAGCTGCTAGGCCATGGCATCGGGCCCTCCTGAATTCTTTCCTATTTATTTTAAAGACAGAGAAAAAGATGTAGCTGGACAATTTCTATCTGGTGGTTCACTGATCAAATGCCCACGGCAGTTGGGTCTGAGCCAAGCCAAGGCCATGTCCTAGGCCCCCATCCGGTTCTCCCACAAGGGTAGCAATGACCCAAGGACTTGAGCCTCCACCTGCTGCCTCCCAGAACAGTGCAAGCAGGAAGTTATATCAGAGCCAAAGCAGCCAGGTCTTCAACTAGGCACTCTAACATGGGGGTACAGGCATTCCAAGGGGTATCTGAACCACTGTGCCCAGTGCCCCCAACCAGCCCCTCCATAATGCCTTTTAAGAACAAATCTTTGGGCCCGGCGCGGTGGCGCAAGTGGTTAAAGGTCCTCGCCTTGCACGCCCGGGATCCCATATGGGCGCCGGTTCTAATCCCGGCAGCCCCGCTTCCCTTCCAGCTCCCTGCCTGTGGCCTGGGAAAGCAGTCGAGGACAGCCCAAAGCTTTGGGAACCTGCACCCACGTGGGAGACCCGGAGGAGGCTCCTGGCTTCGGATCGGCATAGTATCGGCCCGTTGCGCTCACTTGGGGAGTGAATCATCGGACGGAAGATCTTCCTCTCTGTCTCTCCTCTCTGTATATCCGCCTTTCCAATGAAAAAATAATAAAAAATAAATCTTTAAAAAAAAAAAAAAGAACAAATCTTTGCCAAGAGAAGACACTTTCTTCCCAGTGGCGCAGTGAGAACAGCATTGCCCATGCACTTTGGTTGCCTACAATGACACTGCGCAGGCTCCCTGCACGAGGCAGGGGCTGGTGCCAGGCTGCTGTCCCACTCTGCCACAGCGAAGGGAGAACAGGGCACGTCCAGCAGCCAGCGTCATCTCATGAGCGTGGAAAGGGGACCCCGATCATAAACACCCACAGTGCTCTTCCTTTTGCGAACCCAAGGTTGGGCGTCTTACCATTGGTGAGTTTCTTCAAGGACCCAGGACCCCCACAACTTGGCACCGTGGTCGCGGTGCGGGAACTGGCATGTCATCTCACCCATTTGTGGATGCAGCTCTGTTTGCTTTACTTCCTCTAGAATGGGAGGTTCAGAACCGTGTGCCTTCTGGAACAATAGTGAAGGCCTTGATCAGGGGCGGAGACAACGGGCCCTGGATGAGATTCATGAGAGGAGAGACAACCACAGAGGATTTCTTACAAGAATTTGAAAGACACTGCTCTGAAATGGTGAGTGGTAAGCATGCCTGTATTTCTTTCCTGTTTTTTGCCATCAGTACTGGTGGCAACATTAATCAATAAATTGGTTAGACTGAAAAATGCAGTGAAATTCTAGTCATCCTTTATGTATTTTTAAAAATTGTTATTTAAAAAAATATTTATTCACTTATTGAAAAGGCAGAGTTACAGAGGAAGAGGGAGAGACAGAAAACGATCTTCCATCTGTTGCCTCACTCCCCAGATGGCTCCAGTGGCCAGTTCTGGCACAGGCGAAAGCTTGGAACTCCACCCAGGGACCCTGTATGGGTGCAGGGCCCCAGCACTTGGACAATCTTCTGTTACTTTTCCCAGCTGCATTAGCAGAGAGCTAGGTTGGAAATAGAACAGCTGAGCTAGATTGGAAATAGAACTTAAACTGATACCACTATTGCAAGCTGTGGCTTAAGCCGCTATGCAACAGCATTGGTCCCAAGCAGTTTTTGTCCACCATTAGATACTCAACTTTAAAAAAAATAGTTTATTTATTTTTTTATTACAAAGTCAGATATACAGAGAGGGAGATCTTCCATCCATTGGTTCACTCTCCAACCGGCCACAATAGCTGAAGCTGTGACAATCCAAAGCCAGGAGCCCAGAGCCTCTTCCGGGTCTCCCACATGGTTGCGGGTCCGAAGACTTTAGGCTGTCCTTGACGGCTTTCCAAAGCCACAAGCAGGGTGCTAGATAGGAAGTACAGCCACTGGGATTAGAACTGGTGCCCATAAGGATCCCAACGCGTGCAAGGTGACAACTTTAGCCTCTAGGCTACAGTGCTGGGCTCTATTTTTTTTCAAGATTTATTAGAGGGCCCGATGCCATGGCCTAGCAGCTAAAGTTCTTGCCTTGAATGCACCAGGATCCCATATGGGAACCAGTTCTAAACCCGGCAGCTCCACTTCCCGTCCAGCTCCTTGCCTGTGTCCTGGGAAAGCAGTCGGGGACGGCCTAAAGCCTTGGGACCCTGCACCTGTGTGGGAGACCCGGAAGAAGCTCCTGGCTCCTGGCTTTGGATTGGCTCAGCTCCAGCCATTGTAGCCACTTGGGGAGTGAACTAGTGGATGGAAATCTTTCTCTATCTTACCTTCTCTCTGTAAATCTGACTTTCCAATAAAATAAAGAAATAAATCTTTTAAAAAAAAATGCTTACTTTGGGGCCCAGCGGCGTGGCCTAGCAGCTAAAGTCCTCGCCATGAACGCACCAGGATCCCATATGGGAACCAGTTTTAATCCTGGCAGCTCCACTTCCCGTCCAGCTCCCTGCTTGTGGCCTGGGAAAGCAGTCGAGGACAGCCCAAAGCCTTGGGACCCTGCACCCGTGTGGGATACCTGGAAGAGGTTCCTGGCTCCTGGCTTCGGATCAGCATAGCATCAGCCATTGCGGTCACTGGGGGAGTGAATCATCAGACGGGAGATCTTCCTCTCTGTCTCTCCTCCTCTCTGTATATCTGACTTTGTAATACAAATAAAATAAATCTTTTCAAAAAATGCTTACTTTAAAGGGATAAAGCTTACTCTCTGGGAGGCAGACAGCCGGTGGCGACTCAGGTACTCAAGTTCCCAGCTCCTGGTTGGGCCTCGCCCAGACCCAGCTGTGACGCAGCAGATGGAGGATCTCTGTGCCTTCCATGCGCTGCTCCACTCCCCAGACACCTGTACGACCAGACCATGCCAAAGCCACGAGGCTGGACCTGCATGCAGGCGTCCACGTGGGAGGTGGGGATCCAAGCATGCAGCCATTGTTGCTGCCTCCCAGGGTGGTGCATCAGCGGGAGGATGATGGGAAGTGGAAGACTCAGGCCTCAAACCTGGCACTGTCCTGTGAAGGCTTAGCTGCTGCACCCGACAACCGCCGTGCCGCTCACTCCTGCTGACTGCTGCTTGTCCTGTCCCCTCACTGTTCTCAGGCAGAAGCCCCCGTGCGTGCGGCGTCGTTTTTCTCTCTGCTGACCAGTGACCGAGTGGCCAGGCAGTTCCCAGTGATGACCGAGGCCATTGCTCAGATTCGGGCGAGAGGCCTCCAGACCGCAGTCCTGAGCAACAATTTTTATCTTCCCGATGGGACAAGCTTTTTGCCCCTGGACCGGAATCAGTTTGATGTGGTGAGCTTGAGAGGTTCCAGCAGGCGCGAAGGAGGCCCTTGTGTTTAGTCCTTGACAGCGTTGAGCGGGCGGGTTTTGCACTGGGGATGGGCAACAGGGGGGAAACACCTCCTGGAATACCCCTGTGCTCTTGGTGGGGGGGCTTGATAACTGATTGAAAACCCTGCTTTGGAGACCCTGCTGCCTTCTCCAGTTGAACCTGTGGTCACTCAGGCCTTCATGTCTTCCCTGTGGGCCTGCCTCACAATATATGAACCAGAGGTAGAGTTGGGCCCAGGTTGTAATCTCATATTTTCCCATTGTTCTGTGAAAAAGGCAGCCATTGTTTCATATCCTAACATGCTCACGCTACCTGTAGGAGCAGACTTCCACCATCACCCTCTTCCCTCCAAAACCACAGCAGTGCACCTGGGAGCTCCAGCGTGGTGTTGCCCATCTGTTATTCCTGCCTCGACCCATTCCTAGGTTGTGGAATCCTGCCTGGAGGGCATGTGCAAGCCAGACCCTAGGATATATCAGCTGTGTTTGCAGCGGCTCGGCCGGCAGCCCTCCGAGTCCATCTTCCTTGATGACCTTGGTCAAAACCTCAAAACAGCTGCCAGCCTTGGCATCCATACAATGAAGGTAACGAGTCAGAAGTTTGAACTCCTGTCTTTGGGCCAGACATTCGTATAGCCATTTACATGCAGTTTTTTTTTTTCCTTTTAACTTTAGACTTATTTACTTGAAAATCAGACTTATAAAGAGAGGGTGACACTGGTTTACTCCACAGGTGGCTGTAACAGCCAGGGCTGGGCCAGGCCAAAGCCAGCAGCTCGGAACTGCAATCAGGTCTTCCTGAATGCATGTGAGCCATCTTCCACATTTTTCCCTAGGCCATTAGCTAGTACAGCAGCCCCACTTGCATCCAGCTCCCTGCTTGTGGCCTGGGAAGGCAGTAGTAAAGGACGGCCCAAAGCCTTGGGACCCTGCACCTGTGTGGGAGACCCGGAAGAAGCTCCTGACTCCTGGCTTCGGATTGGCTCAGCTCTGGCCATTGCAACCACATGGGAAGTGAATCAACGGATGGAAGAACTTTCTGTCTCTCCTTCCCTCTGTAAATCTGACTTTCCAATAAAAATAAATAAATCTTGACAAAAAAAAAAAATGTAGAGCAGCCAGGACATGACTCAGCACCCATATGGGATGCTGGCATCACAGGCAGTGGCTTTCTCAGCTATATCACCCCAATGGCACCTCTATAGAATTGTTGTGATTCCTTCATGATTCTCCCAAGCCCCTGCCTTTTGTATGAGTTATGAGGCACCTGTGACTAGCTACTTCTTGATTGTCTATGAGAAGCAAGACAAACACATAAGAAGAAGGCAGCTTGAGGAAAGTGACCCACGAGCCGGTGAATAGCAGCCCAAGGCATTTGGGCATCCTTCAGCCTGTTCTCACATTGCTGTTCCGGGCAGGGAGCCAGCAGCTGCAGCTGCCCAGGCCTCCCTAAGCCATGGCTGTGAAGTGTGAGCATCTGCTGCGGGAGGCTGGCTTCAGGTGGTGGTGTTCCCACGACTGAGCTGATGGCTCCGGGACAGAGCACACACTGCGGCATGGGCCGTCCTGCGCATGACTGTCCCATATTCTCTTCTCCACAGCATGGTTTGAGATGAAAGGAAAAACAGAAATGCATCCTGCTTCCTCATTGGCTGAATATCCTCTCCCCAGTCTTTCCTCAGAGAAGTGGATTCTTAGATGCTTCCTTCTGAGGAGCTCGCCTTACCGGGGCCGGTGGTGTGGGAGCAGGTTAACCCGCCACCTGCCATTGCTGCCTTCCTGCCTCTGGGAACTGGGAGTCCTGCCTGCTCTAATTGTGATTCAGCTACCTGCTGATGGGCCTCTGGGAAAGCAGCAGAGGACAGCCTAAGTACCATGTGAGAGACCCAGCTGGGGTTCTAGGCTCCTGACAGCAGCCTGGCCACTGTGGTTAGTAAGCCATCAGATGTCAGTGCTCATTCTCACTGTCTCTGTCTTAGCACCTTTCTAAAAAATACATTTTTTTTAAAAAATTCATTTATTTTTTATTACAAAGTCAGAAATACAGAGAGGAGGAGAGAGAGAGGAAGATCTTCCGTCCGATGATTCATTCATTCCTCAAGTGACTGCAATAGCCAGTGCTGCACCAATACAAAGCCGGGAACCAGGAACCTCTTCCAGGTCTCCCACACGGGTGTAGGGTCCCAAGGCTTTGGGCTGTCCTCTACTGCTTTCCCAGGACACAGGCAGGGAGCTGGATGGGAAGTGGAGCTGCCAGGTTTAGAACCAGTGCCCATATGGGATCCTGGCGCATTCATGGCGAGGACTTTAGCTGTTGGGCCACAGTGCTGGACCCTAAAAAATACATTTTTAAAACAGAATCTAAGGGACTTGCATGGTGCTGCAGCAACTTAATCCTCCACCCTGTGGCGCTGGTATCCCATTTGGATGCCTGTCGTGTCATCGGCAGCTGTCTCCACTCCCGATCTAGCTCTCTGCTTATGGCCTGGGAAAGCAGCAGAAGATGACCCATGTCCTTGTGTCACTGCAGCCATTTGGGGAACCCAAATGAGACTCCTGGGTCTCAGCTTTATATCAGCTCAGCTTTTGGCCATTTGGGGAGTGAACCAGCAGATGGAAGATCTCTCTATCTCTCCTTCTCTCTGTAAAATCTGCTTTTCCAATAAAAATTAATTAATAAGTCTTAAAAATGAAAGCAGAAGACCCAGAATGATAGCCTTGTGGTCAAATCCTTGCCTTGTATGTACTGGGATCCCAAGTGGGTGCCATTTTGTGTCCTGGCTGATCCACTTCCCGTCCAGCTCCCTGCTTGTGGCCTGGGAAAGCAGTCGAGCACAGCCTAAAGCCTTAGGACCCTGCACCCACATGGGAGACCCAGGAGGAGCTCCTGGCTCCTGGCTTTGGATCAGCTTAGCTCCAGCCATTGCAGCTACTTAGAGAGTGAACCAATGGACGAAAGATCTTTCTCTGTCTCTCCTTCTCTCTGTATATCTGCGTTTTGAATAAAAATAGAATAAATCATAAAAAACGAAAACAAAGTCAGAAGCAGGAAAGCAGGAAGTGGCCTGGCCACGGTGGGTCTTCTCTCTGAAACCAGGTCCGTGACCCAGAGAGTGCAGTGCAGGAGCTAGAGGCGCTGCTGGGTTTCCCACTGCGTTCGAGTGTACCCAACACACGGCCCGTGAGGAAGACGATGGAGATTGCCAGAGGCTCCCTGGAGAAGTACATCAAGGACTTACTGGGGACGCAGGGCACAGGTGGGTACCGTGTGCATTTCGGCAGCTGTCTCCAGGGAGAGGCTCTCGGCCTGCTTCTCACCTTCCTACCGCAATGGAAAGCACCAGAAGCAAAACAACAGTGAGGTGCAGGGGATCTGCGTTCTGCTCTCTGCTGTGCCTCAGCCTTCTTCTCTGCAGACCTGCTCTCCACCTGAGAGTGGTGCTGCTGCCACTTGGGAGTGTTTCTGATGGTTTGAAATGGCAGCCCTTAAGGTGCGTGCGTTAAAAGTTCACTGTGCATACGTGCCTCCTAGCCCTCGCCTCCCAGCGGCAGAAGAGCAGGCGTCTGGGAGCCTCCAAGGCCATCTCCACCCGTGGGTGAAGTCCTGCCCCGGCCACCTGATCCTGTTCACTCTGGCGGCTCCATGGTCACTTGTTTTCCTTGTGATTGGGCTTCCTGGACTTGGAGCAGGCTAACTCACACAAGGTTCAAGTGTGTTTCAAAGCTGGAGGCAAATTTGGTTCACCTCCACCAGGAGGCCACAAGGGAAGCACAGCCTTTGGCCTGTGGGCTGGGGAATGGCATCTCAGGAGAGCAGCCTGGCTCGGCCAGAAGGGCCACCCTGCACGATTCCTTTCAGCTGTCACATCAGCTATCAGGCATGGCTCAGCCAAGTCCAAGCGAGTGACACAGGGCACTTCTCATCCTGAGACATTCCCTGTGGCCAGGCGGGTTACTATGACTGTGCTATGGTGACAAAAGACCAGAACACTATTGTGCTTGGAGCAGGGGTTGGCAGGGAGGACAGAGGGGATGACCAGCTTTCAGCCAGCAGCCTTTGCCGTATGCAGTGGTGACATGGATTGTGGGCTCAGGTGTCAAGGGCGCCTGGTGAATCTGCCTGTTTCACGCTGCACACCACGTGAGGAAATGCTGCATCCGAAATGCAGAACTCTGGAACACAAGAATGTCCAGGGGGTCCTGCAGATCTACTTTAGGGTCGCCTCTGTTTTCACATTGCAGGCCCCCTGGAACTTCTCCAGTTTGACCACGGACAGTCAAATCCCACTTACTACATCCGGCTGCATGGGCATCAGCTGGTCCTGAGGAAGAAACCCCCAGGGACACTCCTGCCATCTGCCCATGCAGTTGAGAGAGAGTTCAGGTAAGCAGGGACACGCTACCTGCCCCCCACAGCCTCCACCCTATACAAGCTCAAGGTCTAAGCTGACAGCCCCAATTGTAGCGCCCTCCCACAGTTAAAATGACAACCTAAACCTCTGCGTTATTCCAGCTTCACTGAGAACTCTGTTTTCCCTCTTGGGCACCTGAAACTACTGGAGACCATAGCTGCCTGGGTGGGTGTCTGCTTACAGGCAGAAGGACCCTAACACTCTCAAACCAGAACTGTTGACTACACATCCTGCTCCTGAACTCAGCTATCCCAGAGGACCAAGGACCAAGAGGGGACCCGGCTACTGTCTGTGATGCCAGCATTCCATGTGGGTGCCTGGAGGGTTCACTTTCCAGCCTGCTCCCTGCTAATGGCCTGGGAAAAACAATAGAGCATGGCTTAAGCGCTTAGGCCACTGCCACCCGTGTAGGAACCCTGGGTGAAGCTGCTTGCTCTTGGCTTTGGCCTGGCTTAGCCCTGTCCATTGCAGAGATCTGGGGACTGAACAATGAGTCAAAGATCAGTCTTGAGGCCAGTATTTGGTGCAGTGGTTAAGACCTACTTGGGGTAGGGGTGGGAGGCAGTCTGGCATTGTGGCATAGCAAGTTAAGCCTCCGTCTGTGATACCAGCATCTCATAGGGATGTCAGTTTTATTCCTGGCTGCTCCACACTTTTTTTTTTTTTAAGTGAGCATGATACACACTTCTTTGGGTTGGTTGGTTTAATGATTTTACCTATTTATTTGAAAGATAGAGTGAGAAAGAAAAAGAGAGAAAGGAATCTTCCATTCACTGGTTCACTTCTTTTTTTTTTTTTTAAGATTTATTTTTTAATTGGAAAGGCAGATATACAGAGAGGAGAGACAGAGAGGAAGATCTTCCGTCTAATGATTCACTCCCCAGGTGGCCACAATGGCCGATGCTATGCCGATCTGAAGCCAGGAGCCTCTTCCACGTCTCCCATGCGGGTGCAGGGTCCCAAAGCTTTGGGCCATCCTGGACTGCTTTCCCAGGCCACAAGCAGGGAGCTGGATGGGAAGTGGGACCACCAGGATTAGAACCAGCGCCCATATGGGATCCCGGGCGTGCAAGGCGAGGACCTTAACCACTTGCGCCATGCCGCCGGGCCCTGGTTCACTTCTTAAATGGCCACAACAACCAGAGGCAGACTGGTCCAAAGCCAGGGCCTCGTCCAAGTCTCCTATGTGCATGCAGGGACCATTCTTTGCTGCTTTCCCTGGCACCTTAGCAGGGAGGAGCTGGATCAGAAGCAGAGGAACCAGGGGAAGAGTCGGTTGGCATTGTGGTGCAGCTTGTTAAGCTGCTGCTTGTGACAGCGGCAGCCCATATTAGGGCTGGCAGTGCACCTGCAAAGGCAGCAGAAGTTGGTTGCTGTGCATGGGTCCCTGCCACCCACACGGGAGACCATGGTGAGTTTCTTGGCTCCAGACTGTGGTCTGTGACAGCCTGTATTTTGCAGGAACACTGGAGAGTGAGACATCAGATGGAAAATATATATATATATCTTAAAGACAAATCAGAGGAGTGAGGATTCCTAACTGACACTTCAGTATGGGATGTGGGCATCTCAAGCAGGGGCTTAATCCTCTGCACCACAACATCTGCAAAAGATGTTGAGAGAGAGGCAGGCCTAGTGCACCTTTCCACGAATTAAGCCCCTCAAATGCCACCACAGTGAGGGATGGGCTAGGCCGAAGCTGTGAGTCAGGAGCTTAATTCACTCAGAAGTCCATGTTCCCTGGCCTTTTTGGAGTAGCTTTGCAGTAGTGTTTAACTGTTTCTAAGCACAGCTATGCTTAGGGAGCAGGTGCGCAGCCTGGCGCGGGAGATGCCTGTGTCCCACACGGGCCGTGCTGGGGTTGGTGCGAGCTGCAGCGCCCTGCCAGCTCAGGCCTGGCGGCAGTAGTGTGGGCACCAGCAGTTGGGTTCCTCACATGTGAGAAATCTAGAGTTCCTGCTCCTGGCCTTGGTGGGCGTGTGAGGAGTGAACCCAGCAATGGAAATCTCTCCCTCTGCCCACCCACCAGATCTCTCAAAGAAAAAGAAATGAATGAATAATTAAATCTTCCTCTTCTAATATAAACATTTAAAAACATACATTTCTTTCCAAACATTTCTTTAGCTACATCCCACAAATTTTGGTATTTTATATTCTTTTTCTTATTCCAATCTGAAATCTTTTCTAATTTCCCTTGGGATTTATTCTTTGAACCACAGCCATATAGAGCTGTATTATTGGTTTCCCAATGTTGGGGTGGATAGCATGCACTAATGACTCCTTACTGAATGCCGCTGGGCTCTGATTGTGACTGCACGGGCAGCGCGTGGTTGGTCATGGCAAACACACTGTGCACACTTGAAAACAATGTGTTTCTGCAGTTGCTGACCAGCCCACCCAAGGTGTGGCTTAGGTCCCCTTGATTGGCACTGCTGTCAGATCTGTGTCTTTAAATAAATCTAGCCTCATCTAATCCCATTATCTCTGAGAAGTGGGCATGAAGGTCCCTACTGTGAATATAGATTTGTCCGTTTCTTTCATTCTAATCATTTTCTGTGTTTTTTTTTTAAGATGTTTATTTATTTGAAAGTCGGAAAGAGATTGATCGATAGTTCAATCTTCTATCCACTAGTTCACTTCCCTATACGGCTGCAACTGCCGTGGCTGGGCCAGACCCAAGTCAGGAACCTGAATGCCATCTGTCCTCCCACCTGGGTGTCAGGGGCCCAAGCCCTGGAGCCAGCGTTTCCAGCTTTGCTAGATGAATCTCCAGCGGGCACCCCTATCAGGAATGTTGGTGACACACGCACTGGCTTAACCTGGTGTGCCACAGCAATGGTCCCTCGTTGTTAAATGAGAAATGTCCAGAAAATCCCCATCTGCGCAGCCCAGAGCCAAACTCACTTGTGTTTATTCTGGCAGGGTGATGAAAGCTCTCGCGAGTGCTGGTGTGCCTGTGCCCAAGGTTCTTGACCTCTGTGAGGATTCAAGGTAAAGAGCCCGGTGGCTTGCCGCCGCAGTCAGTCCAGCTGCAAGAGCCAAGTCCATGAACAAGCTCAAATTCCAAGTTGTGAAAGACGAGCTGGGCAGAGGGCATGCTCTCCCGTCGCCTCGCTCAGGGGTCCTCAGGCCTCTAAGCTATCCTGCAAGACACAGACATGCCAGTTTATAAGAACTGGGAGATATATCTTTAACATTTTGTAAGATGTACAGCCACCTAGTTTCATGTTGCTGATTTTTGTACTTTTTTTCATGGTGATCTTTTGGTTTAAAAGTGGTCCAACATTCTTTTTTAAATTGTTCTTTTTGTCCTAACGTTTAAATATGAAAATTTTGGCATGTATAAGAAAATTCAAAGAAGAAAAATCTGTGAAACAAGCACCTGTTTCTGCTTTATCTGAATTAAAGCAGCGTTAATATTTGCCCCATTTGCTTTCTGCACATGCATGTGTAGGTAATACGTACATGTATAATGTATGTATGAAAGAGGTTTGGCTGAGCTCTGGGAGTAAATTGCTGAAAGCAGGCATCTCTTAAAAATAAAGACATTTTCTTTCCTAACCACAGCACCATTATTGCACCTAAGGCAATTAATAATCATTGCACCACATTCTGTATCTGATCTGATTTCCTGTCATCCAAAGACTGCCTTTTACTACTCCCAGTCAGGACCATCATTTACAATGGTAAGAATCTTGGAGACAGTTTTTGGGAGTGGTGAACTGGTTTCCAGTCATGACCACAACAGTCATTAATGATGTGGCTGTGAGTCACCCTAACCCCTGGTCCAAGCTGTGTATGCACCGTGCAAGCCGCCAAACAGTCTTCTTAACAGGAGTGATATGAAGGGGTGCTGGTGGACCCCTCCCTGTGCTCAGCACCCCTGTGTGTTTGTTCCCTAACTTCTCACGATGCCCCCTGTGTAGAGCGTAGGGAGTTTCTGAGGGGTCACCTTGCCGGCCATGGACAGAGATGTCCCCATGCTGCTGACCCCTCAACCATGCTGCTTCCCACCTACTACACTGCACCCGTGCCTGGGCCTTCTGCAAACGTGCCAGAGAAGGGAGAGGCATGCCGGCAAGGAAGCCTAGACAGGGTATGTGGGAGGTTTTGGGGGTCAGCTGGGCAAGGCCCAGCACCCCGCATGTGTGTGTGTGAAGGAAGAGGGAACTCAGCAGCACACCAGCATGCAGGCCATGTGCTCGGTGACCCAAGGAGCCACCGCTTTCCCATGGTGGGAGCTGGGTTCCTGAAACCTCTGCTGTGTCCTGCCAGTGTCCTCGGGACCCCCTTCTACCTGATGGAGTACTGCCCCGGGCGTGTCTACAAAGACCCCTCTCTGCCAGGCCTGGAGCCCAGCCAGCGGAGAGCCATCTACACCGCCATGAACAGAGTCCTCTGCCAGATACACAGCGTGGACCCCGAGGCTGTTGGCCTGCAAGACTATGGGAAGCAGGGTAAGCTGGGGCCGCTGCCTCCCTGCCTACTGGGGGCCTGCTCTCAGGATGGGGGTGGCCTCGGCCGTGAGCACACCGAGGGTTGGCTAATGCGGGCTGGACTTAGCCCCCTCCGAGGCAATCCAGTTGAATTTTAACGGAGCTGTTGCTTAAGTGGACATTGTAGCCTTGGGCAAATCTCTCCCTGACTGCCACTTTTACCTTGCTCAACCATTTCAATCTCTTCTCTTTTTCTACTACTGGTCCAAGGGGTTTAAGTCCCATTGTCTGTGTTTACCCTTTGCCCTAAATATTCTGCTTAGCAGGAATTTTTAAGTGCCCTTGTGTCAGTCTGTTTTGTTTTTTACTCACGTATATTTTATTTCTGCTTTTTTCGATTTTTTTGCTTTTTCGTATATGAGAGCACTCATTGCTCATCATCTTTGAGGGGCTTTTCCTGTTTTGAAGTCCGTTTGCTTGAGGCTGAGTCTCAGAACTGTGACAAAATGCGCGCACAGTTTTGTAACTCCCACCACGGGCCTCTGTGTTCCTGTGAGGAAACGTTAGCCGTAGTGTGAGCCAAAGGATTCCACCACTTGTGTTATGCAAACGGCAGCATGACCGTTGGCCTGCGTGGATGCCTGGCCAGGGTTAAAGGACCATGGCAGCTCGGCTGTGTTTGCTGCTTCTATTGCTTTTGCCCAGACACAAGTTTTCCATAGGATCTGAGTAAAGCCTGCGTGCTTGGGCGATGATGTCAACTTCCCAGCCCATTTCTGCCCAGGAGTGACAGGCACCTGCTCTGAGTCCCTGAGACGGACACTTGTAGCACTCCCTTCTTGAAAGCGTTTCCGTGTGGGTCAGGACTCTTCAGATTGCACATTTCAGAAACTCAGTCTGACCTGGCTAGTTCGGCGTTTCAGAGTCTGTCGGCTGTCCTAAAAGGGAACTAGGAACTGAAAGGGAACTGGGTCTGCTGGATCCAGAGCCTTGCACTATCAGTTTCTTGTTTCTCAGCTCTTTTTCTTTCCATTTCATTTCCGAATTCTTGTTTAGTGGCAGATTTGTCACAAGCAGCCCCAGTGGTGTGGCCTGCCCAAGTATGCGATCCAGGGAAAAGAGAGGGTCCTGGCCTGGGTGAGGTCGGGGCCTTGCTGGCGGCTGGAGACTGGCTGGAGGATGCAGTGATCTGATTGAGTGGTCCTGGGTCGCCCTCCTGTAAAGCCGGGTGGGGTCACCACAGTGGCCAGGGCAGGCTGAAGTGAGGAGGGCGGGTTTCTCCACAGGAAAGGCTGGCAATGTAGGTATAGGTTGCCACGTACAGCAGAGCTGGGGTAGAATTTCTGATAAACAATGAATAATTGTCTTTTTTGACACATGATGTAAATCCCCAAAGCCAATAGCTGTAGCGGTTTTGCTGTAACTTACAATCTAACAGGCTTTTGGCCTTCCCCCTCAATGGGAAGGGAGGGTCTTCTTGCTGTCCCTCATTCTTAGTGTAGTAGGGCACACCATCCCTCCTGCCTGTGCTGACCTATTGCCCACAGGCACCAATTCAGTGGGAGTCCCCTTGGGAGGTGCTTGCACTCACTTGTGTTGCCTCTTGGGGAATCAGGTGTAACTGGGCATGCCATGTCTTGTCTGGCAGCCCTTGTTAGCAGTAACAGGGCCAACCTCATTTAGTTGGGTCAAGCCAACTGGTGTCCCCTGTATTGACCCATTGTTTTGAAGTGGAAGAAGCAATGGGACTAGAGGTGAGATGGGCATTTGAGGACCTTGGCTACCTCACATGGTTTTGTCACAGTTTTCTCAGGAGTAGAGCAGTTAGAGGTGCTGTCCCACCTCCGCCTCATGGTGAGGGATGGAGCAGATAGAGGGAAGCTCACCTCATGCTTTGAGTAAGGTGGAAGCCTTGGGCAGGGACAAGCAGGTAGCCTAACAGCATGCAGACACCGGGCAGGACTCAGCAGAGAGCTCGGGGTGGGTTCTCCTCTCCGGCTCGTGATTCCGCCTTCCTACTAAAGCAGAACGTGCAAGGCAGCAGTGATGCCTCAGATGGTTGGGACCCTGCCACCCGCACAGGAGCCTCAGCCCGGCTCAGTCCTGGTGCAGGCATTTGGAGGGCATACCAGTGGATGGGTGCTCTGTTTGGGAGATAGGGCAATAGGTGCCCAGGGCACGAGAAGGCACGGCCAGTATGATACCTGCTGTGTGGAGATGGTGGTTTAAGGTAGGCTGTCTCATGTGCTCTCCCGTCCCAATAGATCCTTTGCATTGTGTTATTTGCAAGTAGACTGTTTCTCTGCTCTTTTTACTGACTTGTTAGCACATAAAGCAGAAGCCAGATGTGATTTCACATGACCAGGGCCAGCGTCCCTGCATTTGAAACATGACAGCAGAAAGCAAAATAACGTAAGGGTTACAGAGAGGTCTTTCTCCCAGCTGTGTAGCTGCTCTGTTCCTTCCTCCAAAGGCGACCACCACGGCCAGTTTCTCAGCTAACGTGTATAAGCAGACTCTCAAAATTATCTAAATGTTTACATGTAGTTAATATATACTGGGGTGTTTGGTATGGCGCAGAGGGTTAAATCACTACTTGGGACACCTGCCTCCACTTCCACTCCAACACCCTGCTAATGTGCTGTCAGGCAGTAGATGATGGCTGAAGTTCACCCCCATGCGAGAGCAAGATGGAATTCCTGCCTCCTGGCTTTGCCTGACCCAGCCGCAGTGGTCACAGCCATTTGGTAAGAGAGCCAGCAGAGGGAAGCTCTCTTTTTCACTCTGCTTCTCAAGCATTTAAATAAATACGTGTACAGCAACTCTGTAGCTGTTCCGCATGTAGTCTAGCAACTGGGATCCCAATATAACCTGACAAACTTGCAGGCTTCTCAAACCTGCAGCCTTGTGTGCCAGCACGGTACGGGACCTGCCACCTGTGATTCCGTTGGGCCTTCATAGCTGCCCCGTGGGTTGGAGGTGTTGGTCTTTTCCCCGAGTCCCTAAAGCAGAGAGGCCTGGAGAAGTGAAACCAGCTGAGAGCCTGCGCTGGGCCTCACATCTCCAGGATCCCTTCCAGTTGAGATTCACAGACGTGACCTTCCAGCTGCTAAACCATGACCCCTCTTCATGGTGGTCTTTTTGCGAACAGCTTTTTGCAAGCTCCCTTTCTGGAGCATTTACACCAGGTCCCAGGGCTGTGCGTTCTTCCCAGCTGCTCTATGGGGACCGTCTCAATGTGGGGACACTGAGGTGCAGCAAGGCTGAGCAGCCTGGCGCGCTTACGCGGCTGGAGAACGGCAGAGCTGGGATTCTGTCCCTGAAAGTTGGCGCCAGCTCTTAGCCAGCCACTTGTACTTAGCTAAAATGAGATTTTTTTAATGTATTTTCATTTTGATTTGAGAGGTAAAGGTACATACAGAGAGAGAGAGAAAGCACACATGCTTGTATTTGCTGATTTACTCCCTAAATGCCCACAATAGTCAGAACTGGGCCAGGCTGAGGCCAAAAGCCAGGAACTCTATTCAGCTTAGGTTGGGGTTAGGACTGGGCTTGGGGTTAGGGCTAGGGACAGGGACCCAAGTACTTGAAGTCATTACCTGCTGCCTGCCTCCCAGGGTGTTCATTAGCAAGAGGCTGGATGGGAATGGAGTGACCAGGGCTCCCATCAAGCGTTCTATTGTGGCATGCAGGCATGTCATATGGTAACTTAACTGCTGAGCTAGAAGCCAACCTAGAAGGGGCTTATTGAAGACAGCAGCTCACAGGCTGTCTCGTGAGTCAGGGACAGGCTTGGAGGCATGTGGCTGGGAGGGATGCCCAGACCACACTTGTCCTGCCCAGAAGAAATGGCTCTTGACTTTCACCTTGGGATGCCAGGAGTGATCTAGCATGGGGAGTCCTACATTCATGCTTCAGAGGCACTGTCATTGAGGTGGCACTTTCCTTCAATCCATTTCTCCTCAGGGGACTACGTCGCCCGGCAGGTGCAAACCTGGACGAGGCAGTACCGTGCCTCCGAGACCAGCACCATCCCAGCCATGGAGAGGCTCATTGAGTGGCTGCCGTTACACCTGCCCCACCAGCAGAGGACCACAGTGGTGCATGGGGACTTCAGGTAGACATGGCCACCTGGAGCACCCACTGCGTGGGTGTGTGAGATGGCAGGATGGGCCTTTAAGCTTCCAGCTGAGACTCCTTCCCACACCAGCACCTCCCTGTGCATGGCAGGGCTTCTCAGCCCTGGAAGTATGACATCTTGGGTCAGAGAGTTCCTATGGCGGGGGCTGCTGTGCACCCTGGGGTGTCGAGCATCATCCATACCTGGCTGTGATAGCCAGACATGTCTGCAACCCTGGAGCTGGAAGGGCAGTGAGCAGGGATGGGACACATTCTTGCTGAGTGTATTGATAAGGGCTTGGAGGGGGCTCCTTGGGCCTCTGTGTTTCCCATGTGGTCTGTCCAGCATGGGGGCTTCTGAGAGTGACCCAGGGCTCCCCAGGTGTGTTCCCACAGGGAGAGGCCCAGCAAAAGCTGTCTCACCTTTTCTGCCCTGAGACCCTTGAGATTGCTCCCCCTGCCCTGGGATATTTGTCACAGTGAGGAACTCCACGGGGCGAGGAGGAATTAGACTGCCTTCTGTGGGAGGAGTGGCATGGAACAGGTATCCCCGGCCGAGGGCTGCCTGGCCAGAGCCTCACCTCAGGCAGAGGAAGGGCTGGGGACAGCTCGGCAAGCCCTTCCTTGCACGTGCCTCTGACTCCCCTCCTGCAGCTGGGAGGCTCCTTGCAGGTGGGGAGTGAACCCCGACGGCCATGTGGGCCAGGCAGGTGCACCCCATGACTGCCAGTGTCCTCAGAGCCACCTCTCCGTTCCCTCTTGGCTCTTCAGACTCGACAACCTGCTCTTCCATCCAGAAAAGACTGAAGTGCTTGCTGTGCTGGACTGGGAGCTCTCCACCTTGGGCGACCCCCTGGCCGATGTGGCCTACAGCTGCATGGCACACTACCTGCCCTCCAGTTTCCCTCTGCTGCGAGGTAGGAGCTGCTGCTCTGCTCTTGGAGCCTCTGGCAGAAAAATGAAGCGGTGTGTGCTTGGGCTGGGGCAGCACGGGGAAGCCTGTTCTTGGGACGACACCGTAGCTGAGGAAGCCATTGAAGGATATCTGGTCAGTGAAAAGCAGCCTGTGTGTGCACAGCACACCACTAACTTCCGGTTAACTTCTAAAATGAAAGATATAAGACCTATCAGAACAAATGAAAACATAAAAATCATTGTTAGTCCCAGAGAAAATGTGTTCTTGAGAAGCAGAGAGTGTGACAGACAGAGTACGCTTCTATCTACTGGTTCACTCCCTGAACGCCTACAGTAGTTGGGATGAACTTGGAAGCCAAAAGCTCAATCCAGGTCGGCCACCTGCTGGCAACGATCCAAGCACTGCAGCCATCGCCGGCTGCCTCCGAGGGTGTGCATTCACTAGAAGCTGGGTCAGGAGTCAGAGCTGGAAGCCAGGGTGGGATACCAAACCCGGGCAGCCTAGTGTGGGCCATAGAATCTCCTCCAGCGTCAGCCACTAGGCCAAATGTCTATTCCTACAAGTATACTTTGTTTTTTCTTTTAAATATTTGTTTATTGTTATTGCAAAGTCATATATACAGAGAGGAGGAGAGACAGAGAGGAAGATCTTCATCTGATGGTTCACTTCTCAAGCAGCCCCAGTGACCAGAGCTGAGCTGATCCAAAGCCAGGAGCCAGGAGCTTCTTCCAGGTCTCCCACACGGGTGCAGGGTCCCAAGGCTTTGGCCCGTCCTCGACTGCTTTCCCAGGCCACAAGCAGGGAGCTGGATGGGATTACCTAAGTCCTGAACATGTAGTTAACCCATGAAATGAAGCAGGCATGTCAGGCAAAGCGAGTTAAGCTGCCCTTTTAGACACCATCTAAGCACAAATTTGAGTCCTGGCTGCTCCACTTCCCATCTGGCTCCCTGCTAATTCACCTGGCAAAGCAGCGGACGATGGCCTGAGGTCTCGGAGCCCCGTACCCCACCTGGGAGATGCAGATGGGGTTCCTGGCTCCAGGCTTTGGCCTATCCTAGCCGCAGCCACTCCAGCCATTTGTGCTGATGGAAGGTCTCTGCCTCTGCCTCTCCCTTTCAAACAGAATTACTTTGTGAAAGAACCAACAAACTATTTTGTTACTGTCTTTTCCATAATTTGATGGGATCACTTTGGATGTTGCTTTTAATCTAGTCACTGTCTGTAGACACTCGACATCCTGTGAGCTGTGGCTGGGACAGACATGGAAGCCTCATGCCCTCCTTTGCTTCTTTCAGAGTCTTCCAGAACCAGCCTGGGAATGCTGCCCCCGTGCCCAGGGCCCAGTCATCATGGGAAGGGGAACCCCTGGCAGAATGAGCTGGGCGCCTTGGTGGGCACAGTCTGGGCAGGGACTCTAATCCACGTGTGCCACCTCCCCCAGTCCCACGCTGGCCTCTCTCCTCAGGTTTCAGTGACCTTGACCTGGCTCAGCTGGGGATCCCTGCCACAGAGGAGTACTTCCGGATGTACTGTCGCCACATGGGCTTCCCTGTCGTCGAGAACTGGAACTTCTATCTGGCCTATTCCTTCTTCCGTGTGGCCGCCATCCTGCAGGGGGTCTACAAGCGGGCGCTCACAGGTGAGATGGCTGCCAAGGAGAACAGGGTGGAGGGGTCGTGCCATGGCAGCCCTCCCAGCCTGGTGGAGAGGCTTTGGAGGTGCAGGTGGGGTCCCAGTTCTTTAGCATTCAGTTAACTCAGCTGTTTATGATTAAATACATAGATTTGTACACGCGCTGTCACAGATACACACTCATACATATGTATTGTCTCATAATATGCATGTGTGCTGTAGCTTTTTAAAGTGCTTATTGGAACTGGCACTGCGGCCCAGCTGGTTAAGCTGCTGTTTGCGGCAGTGGCTAGTGCCCTAGTCACTGCACCTCTGACCCAGCTTCCTGCTAATGCGCTCGGAGGGCATTGGATGATGACCCAGGCACTCGGTCCCTGCCACGCTGTGGAAGGGCTGGTCGGAGATCCTGGCTCCTGGCTTTGGCCTGGCCCAGACTTGGCTGTGGGAGCCATTTGGGGCACGGACCCGTGGATGAAAGATTTCTTCTCTTTCTCTCTTTTGCTCTGCCTTTAAACTAACTGGAAAACAAGTCTTTCTAAAAAAAAAAATAAATAACAGTAAAAAGACTTACTGATTTTTTTAAAAAAGATTTGTTTTATTTTTATTGGAAAATCAGATATAAAGAGAGGAAAAATCTTCCATCTGTTGATTTACTCCCTAAGCGACTGCAACGGCCAGAGTTGAGCCAATCCAAAGACAGGAGCCCAGAGCCTCTTCTGGGTCTGCCACATAGGTGCAGGGTCATCCTCAAGGCTTTGGGTCATCCTCAACTGCTTTCCCAGGCCGCGACCAGGGAGCTGGATGCAAAGCGGGGCTGCCAGGACATGAACTGGCACCCATATGGGATCCCGGCTTGTGCAAGGCGACGACTCCAGCTGCCAGGCCTTAATGATCTTTCATTTACTTAAAAGGTGAAGGGACAGAGAGACCTTCCACGCCCCAGTTGGCTGCAGCAGCCACGGTCTGGTCCAGGTCAAAGCCAGGAGCCCAGAACTCCATGCAGATCTCCAGGATGGGGGGCAAGGACTCAAGTGGTTGGATTTGTGCCATGAGCAGGAACCTGGATTGGAATTGGGATAGACACTGACACCCAGAGGCTCTGGTGTGGCCTTAACTGCTGTGCCAACCACGTGTGACAGATATGTGACACTTGTCTGTTTCCTGGGGGACTGTCTGTGGAAGATGCAGGGTTTCTTGCAGCCATAGGTGAAGGCGGCAGGCAGTGCTGTGGCTGTGGGCGTTCAGCCTGCAGTGCAGGGCAGGTGACACGGGGCAGGTGGTGGCGCCTGCAGGTGGAATAGCTACCACACCATCTCGGCCAACATCAGGATGAGCCAGGTCGGGAGGAGTCACTGTTTATCTTTGCTTCCGCTTAGGGCAAGCCAGCTCGGCAATGGCTGAGGAAAGCGGCAAGCTGACAGAATTTATGGCTAACCTGGCGTGGGATTTCGCAGTGAAAGAAGGATTCCGGGTGTTCAAAGAGACGCCAGCCACGAGACCGCTAGCAAGGTCCTACCACACTGGGACTGGCCTACCGCCCCTGCCGAGCAGCACAGGTGCCAGGAGGTACAGTTCTGCCCCAGGAGCCAGCTCAGCCCACACCCCTCAGGGGGCTCTCATCTTCTCCCCGGAGGGCCTCGCCCCGCCAGTCCGAGAGCTGTACGGGCGGCTGAAGCGCTTCATGCAGCAGCACGTGTACCCTGCGGAGCCTGAGCTGCAGAGACACCAAGCCTCGGCTGACAGGTGGAGCCCGCACCCGATGGTGGAAGAGCTCAAGGTAAAGCAGGCTGGCTGAGGGCATGGCGTGTGAACACATGGACCCTAGGTGCCCACTGCCAGTGCATCTAGGCCTGGGCAGAGATGAGCCGGAGGGCTGAAGCTGGCATTTCTGAGCTCTTGGTCACTTCTCACCCCTAACCTGCTGCGGTTGCGTGGGCACTCAGCTCAGATGTGCCTGTGAGAGCCAGGATAAGCAGGCTGGTGCTATGCCTAGCTGGGCACATCTGCAATGTGCTTAGTAAAGATGTAGAAGCTCCGTGGTGTCACAGCCTGCTCTACCACCAGCTGTCTGCTTGTCACATGTCATCTCCCAGTGATGCCACGTCATCGGAGAAGCGGAAACATGATGCCCTTCTCAGTCGGGGTAACCTGGCATCATGTTTGGCTGAGTTACTTAAGATTTAGTGAGGAGCTGAGAACTCTGTCCGGGTGTCCCTCGTGGGTGGCAGGGACCCAAGCGCTGGGCCATCTGCTGCTGCTTCCCCAGGTTCATTAGCAGGGAGCTGGATCAGAGACCCAGGAATGGGGATTTGACTGACATCCTGATGTGGGATGTGGGTGTTGCAAGTGGTGGCTTAGCATACTGTGCCCTAGTGCTGGCCCCTGTCTGAGACCATCAAGGGGCACAATGTAGGCATCACCTCTTTTCCTATTTAAAAACCAATGACAAAATTGCACGAAGCTCAGACATGACCCAAGAATATAACATACAAAGTAAGGATTCGCTCACGTTCTTTGCCGTCTGAGATAATCACAGTTAGCCCTCTGCTGGTGGCGCCGTGGTGGTGAAGGTGGGTGTGTCTAGGATAGGGGACCTTGCTCCTCTATGCATCTGTGGGCGGAGACTCCGTCTAGTGGCCAGCTTGCTGCCCTGGGGTGGGACCTGCTGCTCTCCTCACTCCTGCCCCTCCGACCCGGCCTCCCCACCCCTTTCCCTGTTCTGCGTGGTCAGACCTGCTTTCCCCACACCAGGAGAAAGCCAAGGCCGAAGGACTCTGGAACCTCTTCCTCCCCTTGGAGACGGATCCCGAGAAAAAGTATGGAGCGGGGCTGACCAACGTGGAGTACGCGCATCTGTGTGAGCTCATGGGCACGTCTCTGCCGGCGCCTGAGGTACCTCCTCCCTCGAGGTACCCACCCCCTGGGGAGCATCTGCCCAAGTTGAACTTACTCTCAGGAGGAAGGAGGTGTGGACCAGAGAGTAGCACTGCGGCAGGAGTGTGCGGGATGACAGGAGCAAGCCCGCCCCCTGCTTTAGGCAGAGAGGTTCCGGGACCGGCTTGGGGGGGAGGGGGCGATTCTGGGCTTGTATCCAGAGAGGTGGGACTTCACCGAGGGGGTTGGACGGCCTGTGGTGTGGGAGGAGTCCTGCCGCAGCACTGTCAGGTGTGTGACATTGGCATGACACAGGCATCATGGGCCACTCTGTCTGCTCTTCAGATATTCAACTGCTCAGCCCCAGACACGGGCAACATGGAGCTGCTAGTGCGCTATGGCACGGAGGAGCAGAAGGCCCGCTGGCTGCGTCCCCTGCTGGAGGGCAAGGCACGCTCTTGCTTCGCCATGACTGAGCCTCAGGTACAAGGCTGGGGCTGCCCCCTGCACCTGCCCAGCCCCCTGTAGGCCTCTCTGCACCTGCTGGGCCCCGCCCCACCCTGGTGGGTTCCTGCCACAGGACAGCACTGAGCTCATTATGCTCTCCTGCAGGTCGCCTCGTCAGATGCCACCAACATAGAGGCTTCCATCAGGGAGGAGGGTGACTTCTACGTCATCAACGGCCACAAGTGGTGGATCACAGGTGTCCGGCCCGAGACTGGCTGTTCGGTGTTCACGGCACAGCTCTAGTGCCCACACACAGTGCCAGCTTCCTATTCACTTGGCTCAAGGGGGTGGGGGTAGGGTCTCTCCATCTGCCCCTAGTAGGAGTAGCTGACCCGGAAGAGTCCCCAAGGGCTTTTCACAGGCACAGATGGCCCCCATGATGGTGCGGGTACCTGTCTGCATGGCAGCTGCAAGGGAAAGGTGGACGCTCACCTCCCTTGCCCCCAGCTCAGGTGCACAGTGACCTAGGGGTTAATGAATGCCCTCCATTGATGGGGTTACTTCTGCAGGGTCCCCCAGAAGCACTCAGTAGGTTTTACCTGCACTGAGTGTGTGCGCCTAGCCAGGAGGCAGGTGTCAGCATCCCCATTTTACAGTCAGGGACACAGCTTCAGTGGCATGCCCAAGGACCCAGCCCCTCACTGCAGACAGTGACCCAAGCTGCTGCCGGGATTCCTGTTGGCGCAGAGCCTGGCAGACCCCAGTTCCCAGGCTCTGGTCTGTCCATTTCCCTCCAATTCCATGGGCCCTGTCTGCTGCAGTTGGGGTATAGGATTCCTTCCTCCTGGGACAGACCCCCATAGGCTCTGACTGCTGACAGAGGACCCATGGATGACCGGGAATCTGATGCAGTCTGGCTGCCTAGGACCCATGGCTCTAGGGGCAGCTGACAGGGTCTCTCCTTCCCTGGCAGGCATCCTGGATCCACGATGCCAGCTCTGCGTGTTCATGGGGAAAACGGACCCGCATGCCCCGCGCCACCAGCAGCAGTCTGTGCTCTTGGTGCCCATGGACACGCCAGGGGTGAAAGTCGTCCGGCCTCTGACGGTGTACGGGCTGGAGGACGCGCCAGGTTAGACCTCCCGCCACGGGGTGGGTCCTCAGGGAACTGGTTGCATCTACCGCCTGCATTTCAGCCCCAGACCTTGAATACCAGCCATGTGACCACATTCCTGATAGGCATTTGGTGCAGCCTCTTCCTCCCAGAGGAGAGAAGCAGGAATGTGGTGACAGCAGTGACAGGGCCAAGGCCGAGGTGCCTTGTTCACCTGCCTTCCAGTGTGCAGAGCGTCCACCCCGCCCCTCTACGCCATGGCCATGCCGTGGCCATGACCATGGTTAGGTCTTATCCCAGGGTCCTCTGCTAGCACAATTCATGTTTGTACTTCGACAGTGTCTGGGTTCGTTACTCTCTCATAGCCATGCACTCCTGGGCAACTCCAGCTTCAGGAAGCAGCATCCCATTTCCACCTGAGGAAGGGCAAAGAATTGTTTGCCATTGGAAAGCAGTATTTCATTTTCCATATTAAAAAGGCTCCTGCCTCCAGCCAGCCCTCTCCCACAGGAGACTAAGTCAGGGGCAGCAGATCACCAGGGGCCAGAGCCAAGGCCATCCCAGAGTATGCCTCTGGCCAAGGGCTCAGGACGGATGTGTTTGCATCTTTCAGGTGGCCACGGTGAAGTCCGGTTTGAACACGTGCGTGTGCCCAAGGAGAACATGGTCCTGGGCCCCGGCCGCGGCTTTGAGGTCGCCCAGGGCCGGCTGGGGCCAGGGCGTATCCATCACTGCATGAGGCTCATCGGGTTCTCTGAGAGGGCACTGGCGCTCATGAAGGCCCGCGTGAGTGACCCCCATTTCCCGTGCTGAGAGAGAACCCCCATCTGTTTTGCTGTCAACCTCAAGCCCTGCTTTCCGGGCACAGACCTAGCAGGTGAAGCAAGATGGTGTTCTCACGGGGCACTGCGTCCGTCCTATCTTTGGTCCATAGGTGCTGCTTGCTGCAGTATGAAATGCAGAGCCCAGCAGGGTCCCACTGTGACCTAGTGACCCGAGGAGAGGGCAAATTCAAAGGCCTGAAGGGTCATAGGCTGCCCAGAGCCATTCACGCTATTATACGTGGTTAATGACCAGACAGCAGGGAGGGCACGGCTGGGACTGCTGCGCCTGACCCTGTACCACTCTCCTCCCCCTGTGTGTCCAGAAAGCATTTCTTTGCTGGGACCTCTTGTCAGAGTTCCCACTTCATGCCACATCGGTAGCAGGGATCTCACGAGGGGCAAGCCAATGATTGAACCCAGCACAAGCTTCTCAACACAAGCACCATGTAAATAGAATAAGTGGAACAAAGCACTACTACTTTTTTTTAATGCCTCGTGGCTCCCACTTTTAAAAATTCCCCACTGCAAATGAGGTGGCCCACCAGGGGTTCTGGCACCTTGACACTGCTCCCCAGAGCTCAGGGTGTGAAGGCAGGCCGTGGTCAGCAGAGGGCGCCCTGGCGGTAGCCTTGGGCCAGACGCTGGCTCTGCTTTTGTCCAGGGGTGACTGAGTCTCTGGAACGATTCTTGGAAGCAATTTGTTCAGACACGTGACATGAGTGTTGTCTAGGTCTCCCCCTGGAGACCGCCTGTGCTCAGAGAGCCACATGCGTCGCCCATTCCCTCCCTGGGTGTGCTTCCGCCACCTCCACAGACCAAAGCCACCTGAGCCTCTTCCCTCGGTTCCCGTGTCCACAGGTGAAGTCCCGCGTGGCCTTCGGGAAGCCCCTGGTGGAGCAGGGCACGATCCTGGCAGACATTGCCCAGTCCCGTGTGGAGATTGAGCAGGCACGGCTGCTGGTGCTGAAGGCCGCCCACGTCATGGATGTGGCAGGAAATAAGGTCAGGGTCCAGGGGGCTCACACGACAGACACTCTGGGGTCAAGGGGAGGGAAGTATTCTCTCTCGCTCAGCAGAAAGCTGTGGGGAAGCGCGGCTGCCCGACATTCAGAAACTTGTGTCAACTCTATCTGGGCAGCTTTGTCTATTTTTAAAAGAAATCCCATCTTCTCTTTTACTGTGATTTTCGTTTGTGCTCTCTCTCTTTCTCTCTCTCTCTATATTTAGAAATGTTTATTTTCATCTATTTGAAAGGCAGAAAGGGAGACACACAGGTTTTTCCATCTGATGGTTCACTCCCCAAATACCCACAACAGCCAGGGTTGGGGGCCGGGTCAGAGCCAGGAGCTGGCATGTGCTGGTGGGGAGGGGTCCGGGTGCCCCCCCTGCAGGGACTCGCTTCCTGGCACCTATCATGAGTTGGCCTCCCGTCCAGTTCCCTCTCTGGGGACCCTGGCACTGAGCCCCTGGTCTTCACTCCTCCCTGCAAGCCTGACTGTTCTTCCAAGCATCCAGCCTTGGTGTCCACGCCACGTCTCTATTCCCTGCAGGCTGCAGCTTTAGATATTGCCATGATTAAGCTGGTCGCTCCGTCCATGGCCTACCGTGTGATCGACCGTGCTATCCAGGTGAGCACAGCAGAGAGGCCTCCTGGCCTCCGCCCTCCCTGACAGTGCCTCCTGGCCTCCGCCCTCCCTGACTGTGCCTCCTGGCCTCCGCCCTCCCTGACAGTGCCTCCTGGCCTCCGCCCTCCCTGACAGTGCCTCCTGGCCTCCGCCCTCCCTGACAGTGCCGCAACATCCTCCTTTCTTACTTGGGAGCAGCCCTAGGGGACAGGGGTGGATCTGGAGGCCCAGAAAAGTGAGGGGCCTTGTTGGGTCACCCAGCTGGCTGGTAGCTGACCTCACACCAACACAAACCTGAATCTTCACCACCTCGGGGCCCTTAACCATGTGGACTGTGGCCTACCCTTACGTCCTCACTCCGGGCCTCAACCTTGAGCTTGCCTGGGAATGAAGCCATCTGGGGGGGGGCATCCCAGGTCACAGTGGTCAGCCTTTGGAAGTAGCTGTCCTGCCTTGAGGACTCACAGGGCGTCCCCCATGCCCGACTCCCACCCTGTGCCCTCCAGGCCTTCGGAGCAGCTGGCCTGAGCAACGACTACCCACTGGCTCAGTTCTTCTCCTGGGCCCGGGCTCTGCGCTTTGCCGACGGCCCGGACGAGGTGCACCGGGCGACAGTGGCCAAGATAGAGCTGAGAGACCGCGCTTAGACCCACAGGCAGGACCAGCTCTGCCTGCGGCTGTGAGTGATGGCCCGGGAGGCCTGGCTATGTGGCTGCAGCTCTGCCAGGGACAGAAGGTACTTTGTGTTCCAAGAAAGAGGAAGGGAGGCAGCCACAGCACTCCTGAAGCCCCCTGCTTCCTGACGCCTCCCTGCTGATTATCTTTGTCTACAACACAAAGCACAGATTAAAATGTTGCTTTGGAAAAGGAGATGCAGTAGTTACCACTGAAGAAGGACATGGCAGAGACTTTCTGAGCTTGTGTGCTGCCTGAGGGCAGTGAGAATAAAGGTCCCACCAGCCCCTCTCATGCTTCCGATCCCTCTCGTCTCGCCTGGGCCACACCTGTATGGGGTGTGGATGCTGTGTCTCTGGTGGGTCCCGGGTCACTGCCCCCTCTTGAGCCCGCATTCTGTGCTCCTGTCAGCTTCCCCTGGAAGAGCTATGATGTCTGGGCCCCTCCAGGTCTCACGTTCCCCGGGTGCTCTGTGGGGAGGGGATGGTGGGCTCTAAGAGGAATGCAAGTGCTTGTTCACCCAAAGTCTGAGTCCCTGAGAAATGGATGCCCCAGGAGCCAGGGTGGCAGGCAGGGAGGCCCAGGCTGCTAATATCCCTGTGGCAGTGTGGCCAAAGCCCTCGGGCCATCAGCCTAGGTGACTGCTGCATCACAAACTGTCCCCTGCTGTAGCCGGATGGAGCACCTATAGGGCCTGGGCTCCTCCCATGCATTTGTCTGAGGTGGGTGTGGGGTGGGAGGGACGAGGCCTATCACACAAGGATGTGAAAGTTACACTCAAGCTTGACTCTACTGTGAGTGCTCGCTAGCCTGGCGAAGAACCCTTTGCACCCTGGTGGGATTCTCACAGCCCGAGGACTTGCTTCAGCACTGACCTCTGGGCAGAAGAGGGACTTTTTAAGAAGGAAGTGGTCATGGCCTGGCCGATCACATGGCATTGAACACTTCTGTGGCCCCCAGGGTTAACTCTGTCTGTCCAGTGGTGGGCTAGAGGATGGCCCCATGCCTCCCAGCACTCCTGAAGATGGCAGTGGGTGACCCAGCAGACCCTGCTGGGGCCGTGGGGAGGCTTGAAAGACGTGCTGCAGCCAGGAAACATGTGACAGAAAGAATGGGCAAGAGTTTCTGAAGAAGGGTCCAGCAAGTGCACAGGCCCTGGAGGTGGGCAGGCGGTGACTGGGGAGCGCTGGGGGCGGGCAGGTGGTGGGATGGGGAGCGCTGGGGGCGGGCAGGTGGTGGGATGGGGAGCGCTGGGGGCGGGCAGGTGGTGGGATGGGTAACGCTGGGGGCGGGCAGGTGGTGGGATGGGTAACGCTGGGGGCGGGCAGGTGGTGGGATGGGGAGCACTGGGGGCGGGCAGGTGGTGGGATGGGGAGCACTGGGGGCGGGCAGGAGGTGACTGGGGAGCACTGGGGGCGGGCAGGAGGTGACTGGGGAGCACTGGGGGCGGGCAGGTGGTGACTGGGGAGCACTGGGGGCGGGCAGGAGGTGACTGGGGAGTGCTGGGGGCGGGCAGGAGGTGGGATGGGTAACGCTGGGGGCGGGCAGGAGGTGACTGGGGAGCGCTGGGGGCGGGCAGGAGGTGACTGGGGAGCGCTGGGGGCGGGCAGGCGGTGGGATGGGCATGGGTAATGGCTGACTCCCAGTGTGATGAGGTGGTACACTTAGATGATGTGACACATGACTTGGGGTTTTAAAGCTTCTCCCTAGAGCTTGGGATGCCCATGTCTCCTGCCAGGGGGCCTGGTGTGAGTCTCAAACCCCTCCACTTCTATGCCAGCTTCCTGCCAATGTGCACCCTGGGGGGTGGCAGCTGATGGCTCAAGAACTTGGATCCCTGCCATCCATGTGGAAGACCTGGATTGAGAACTGAGCTCCTGGTTTTAGCCTAAAAAGAGGGGTGGGGCAAGGGAGGCATTAAAGAGGTGGGTGTGGATGAGCCCCAGTGCTAAGAGCAAATCTAGGCCTGGCCTGGCTGATGTCTTACTCCCGGACCTCTGGCAAGCACTCCCGTCTGCAAGCTGATGGGTGGCTGTGGGAGCCAACTTGGGTGTGAGCAAGGCAGCTCTGACAGTGATCATGCCTGACCAGTTTTATTTATGGACTGCCAGGCTTGCGTAACTGGACCTGCCTTAACAAAGGGAGTGGAACATGTTTCATCACACATTGTGTCTTCCCTTCCCAGAGCGACAGAACACATGTTCCTGCTGCTCCCTTCTTGGCAGGCAGTGGGGCTGGGACCTACCTGCCCTGCCCAGACCGTCCTGGATCAGGCAGTTCCCACCATCTTCACGGGGAAGGGTAGGCCGTCTCCTCTAATTCTCCCTCCTCCTCATTCTCCCTGCAGAATAGGTTCTTGGCATCCACAGGCTGCTCTCAAATATGGTCAGAGAATTCTAGAATAAGTCTGCGGAGGCCCAGGTCCAGACAGCTTGCCTGGGCGGGGCTCCCTGCGTCTGCAGCTGGGAAGCAGCTCTGCTTGGCGTCCTCCACAAGTCCCCAGTCTCCAAGTGGCTATCCAGGGACACCCAGGGCTTCCAGCTCTCCAGGGAAGCTGTGGGCTGCCTGGGGCTGCAGGGACTCATCTCCTTGCAGTGACCAAGAACAGGGCTGATGCCCTGGTGAGTGTCCCCAAGGCCCATCAGGGACCATGCCCTCATGGCTCTATGTGCTGCCACACAGGTAACAGGCTTCTCACCCGTCTCAACGTCCCCAGTGTGTGCGGATGTCACCACAGAGGGAGGCCAGACTCTAGTATCACCAGGGCCCAAAATTAGTGACAGCCTATTAGAACAGGAACATGGGGTGGAGATTCATTCAAGTGGACTGAGTAAAGAAATGGCTTCAGGAATCGATGGCACAGCTCTTAAGAGCCGTGACAGATGGACTCTGCCGCAGCAAGGGTGGGTTCCATCACACATGCCTGCAGCCCCAGGGACGAGGGGCCAGCACAAGGTGACCCAGCCTCATGAAGGGACAATGAGGGGGCAGGGGTGGGGCTGGGGCTTGAGCGGCAGTGAGGAAGTGCAAATTCCCACAGTCACGTGGAGGTCAGCCAGCTGGCCTGTGGCTCACACACTTAGCCTGTGAATCCAGACTGAAACCCCGAAGAATCCAGAGATCTTTGTGTCCTAAGGCATGGGGTTTTGGGATCTCCAAGGGGCTCTCCAGGCACTGCGGGCTGAAGGAGAAGCCCCATGTGGCCAGTGTATACAGAACCCTGAAGGAAGGTTCGAGTCCTCCCGATGAGAATTCTATTTCCAAAATTTTCAAGGCAGGCGCTGTGGCTCACAGGGCTTAACCAGCACTCCTGGGAAGCAGCAGACAATGGCTCCCTGCCCCCCATGGGAGACCAGTTGGAGTCTGGGGCTTCTGGCGTCAGCCTGATCCAGCACTGGTGGTTGTTGCAAACATTTGGGGATTGAACCAGTGAATAGAAACTCACTCTCTCCCTCAAATAAATTTTGTAAAATGCATGTCATCTTGGAACATCTTGCCAGCAGCCTCTTAGGTCAGGATTGGGTAGGGATGCCACAGGTCCCACACAGCACTGCCTTCCCCACAAGAAAACATTGTGTGTCTCCGGAGGGAGGCTGGCCCTGCAGTAGCCGTGTGCCCTGCCCCCTCTGTGATAAACACCTGCAGCTGGCGTCCTGGAGTCCACGGCCACTGCGCTTTAGCTGTGCACTCTGACCTGTGATGCTGACGACTGACAAACAGGCCATTATGGGTCCCTCCCTTAAGTAAGATAAACCCTGTCTCCACATCAGACCTCTGAGTGGTTTCTCTGGAATGAAGGAAGCTTGGTGGGTGAGCCCTCCTGGGCGGCACTGTGCTGACCACAGGGGCGGCAGGTGCACAGGGTGGGACCTGTAGGTCAGGGAACAAGCCTTCCTGTTTGGAAGCTGCTCTGACTTCCCCATCTAGCCTCATTGTTGGACTTGGGGGCCAGGGATGGGGTCAGCCAAACCTGTCAACAGAAAGTTGCCATCCCAGAATGAGGCTTAAACAAAATCTCATTAGTCAGTGACAAGGAGGACACCTCGGCTGCCATCTTTTTTTTTTTTGAAAAACTAGATTCAAGATGAAACACAAACTCGGACACTGACACTGAACTGTCTCGGAGGCTCAGAGTGCATGTTCTCCGAGGAAATCAGGGCCGTGTTTCCCCCACGGCCCTGGGCACTGTGTAAGTGCTCATGCTTTTTGCCAGCTCGTGTTCCTGGACACAGGGACAATGGAGAGAGAGCTGGATACGCAGAGGAGGTGTGCGGGGTGGGCATGTGGCTCAGCATTTACTGCTCGGGTGTCCACGTCCCAGAGTCCTGCTCCATGTCCAACCCAGCTCTGCTGATGCACTTCCTGCAAGGTAGCAGGCGATGCCTCAAGTACTTGGGTCCCTGCCACCTGTGTGGGAGAGCTGGGTAGATTTTGGGGCTCCTGGCTTCAGCCTGGGCCGGCTCTAGATGGTGTAGCCATTTGGGAGAGTGAACTAGTAGATGGAAGATCTCTCTTTCTCATTTAGCCTCTTTCCAGAAATAAATTTTAAAAGATTTAAAAGTACTTCTTAAAAAGAAAGAAGGGCCCAATGCTAAAGGGCCCTAGTGGTTAAGGTCCTCACCTTGCACGGGCCAGGATCCCATACGGATGCCAGTTCATGTCTGGCTGCTCCACTTCCCATCTAGCTTCCTGCTTGTGACCTGAGAAAGCCGTAGAGGACAGCCCAAAGCCTTGGAACCCTGCACCTATGAGGGAGACCTGGAAGAGTCTCCTGGCACCTGGCTTTGGATCAGTTCAGCTCTGGCTGTTGCAGCCACTTGGGGAGTGAACCAGTGGATGGAAGAGCTTCCTGTATGTCTCTCCTCTCTGTAGATCTTTCCAATAAAAATAAGTCTTTATAGAAAAAAGAAGTTTCTTTTAATACAACAAATATTTACTCAAGAGGAATGAAACAGATTTAACAACAATAACAAAGGATGAGTTATTTGGGAGAGATTTGGATCAGGTGCTAAGGAGTGCTTTGCAGAGACAGGGCCAATGGATCCTTAGCTGTCCTGGGGACCTTGAGCGGAAGAGGGTGTGAAGGCAATGGAGGGAGGCTTCCCCAGATGTTGACAGTAAGGATTTCCTTAAGGGAGGGGGAGCCAAGACATGCGGCCAGCGATGAGGCCACCAGTGGGGAAGATGGTGCTGAGTGCCTGAGACAAACCGAAACATATTACCTGTAAGCCCGTTTGTACCACGCAGAGTCACACGCACCTGTAAGCTACGTGTGTGCCATGTGGAGCCCACACATGCACCTGTACGCCACACAGAGTCCCACATGGCAACATGAGCACATGAATGTGCCTCTTTTCCTCCCCCAACCCTACACAGATGCATCTGGGTCACTGGCAACCTCAGCCCCCTCTCGGCCCCACCCTCTGCAGCCCCATGTGGCTGCTGCCACGGCCACATTCTTGCCTCCAGACAGGCCCTTGTCATCTCTCACTGCTGCTCTCTGCCCCGCCCATCTCCCCTCTACAACCATTTGTCTGGGCTGGCCCTCGAGGGAGCCCTCCGGAACATATACACAACCTAATCCCTTCAGGGCTTGGAAGTCTTGGCCACAAGAAGAGACACTGTGGGACATGGCTTCGGGGATCACAAGGGCATGTTGTGGCATACGAACAGTCCCATGAACCTGTGTCCTTTGGAAGTGCCCAGCCATTTCAGGGTAGTGTGAGGAAGAGAACTAGGGGTATTGGGCACTTAGATCTGCACCACACACAAAAGACAAAACGTGAATGGTGAGGTTAAAGAAAAGGCCTGTGGACCAAGGCTAAGGGAAGCAACAACCAAACAGGACAACGGGCAGGGGACGGGGCAGCGGCCGAGGAACACGATGCTCCCCTTCACTCATGAGAAATGCAAATGGATACGCTAGGGGAACGCCCTATTCTCCCTATCGTGGAAGCAAAACAAAAACCCCAAGCTCCCCCAAAACCCAGAAAAACTAGCCCGATCATCACCCCCCACTGGCGAGGGCATAAGAAAACCGCTGTATAACCTCAACAGCAGCCATGTGGACAGTCTCGACAGATAATCCTTCAAGCTGATGATGGCATGAAAGCCATTTGCGTTCAGGGGAAACCACTCTGCTCAGAGCCAGGCAGGCACAGGAACCTATCTTGCTGTGCGCCCAGAGCGGTGACAGCCTTGGCTCCCCGCCCATGGGCCCGCAGATCACAAACATGAACAGCTGAAGGCTGGGTGGTCCCCTGCACTGCAGGGCAGGCCTATGTGGTAGGGCTGAGGTCCCTTGGGTGAACTATGTCTTCAATACAACCCTGCCTTGATAATGGGCCTGGCCAGGGCGTGACCCTTTCCACAATGTCTGTATTTAGATAGTCAACATCTGTTGATTCAATTGATCTTCACTTCGTCTCAACTGAGTCACAGGTGTTATCTTGTGGCGCTGAATGTATGGGCAAAAGATGGAACAACGCCTTCATGTCATCCTGCCATCGTGTGGGAAATGTGTTCAATCAGCACGGCACCCCAGGGGACAGCGGAACAGGGCGTAGCTGTTTGGGAGGTTAGGAAGGCTTTCCCCGTGGGTTCTGACAACAGCTGGGGAAGTGGGGAGCCTTGGGAAGTGGGAGGCCTGGGGGCTGCAAACGGACAGGGAGACTCGCTTTCCCACACTCCCCAGAAGTGGTCATGTGATTGCAACTTAGCCCCTCAGCCCAGGAAACCCACCCAGACGCCACACTTCCAGCTGCTTTCTTCTCTGGTGCTTAGGCAACACCCCCACCCCTCCACACACACACCTTGGCTATCCACCTGGTGCTAAAGACAGAGTCAGGTGCAAGGAGGTGCTCTGGGTCCTAAGGTCAGGCTGGGAGCAGGAACTTAATTGTTTTTGGTCCCTGGGAATTTTAGGCCACGCTTTGTGAATTCCTGGCTGCAATGCTCTTGACAACATGTGAACTCTGCAGGGCAAAGTAAACAGAAATATTCTGCTGGGCTGGCGCACTTCACACGGGACCTTGGCCATTGTCTTGGCCTCAGCTCCCTGGGCTTCAGCCTCAGAGGAAAGTGGTGGTCTCGGTCCAACCGTTCTTAGCACAGCTCAGCTCCTCCCGCCATGGCTCCTTCCCCTCCCCACGGGCTCTTACTGACATCTCTCTCCGTGGAAGCCGCACACACGAGGTACCATGCCCCTTGCCCAGCCAATGCTCTCTCATGCCCTCCTGAGGGTGCAAGGCCCGCTTTACTGCTTGGTCTATGGGGGAAAGCATTTCAAGTCCTTGTGTCCCTTCCCGGCTGTCCTGCAGGGGGTCCTCCGCGGGAGACAAGGAGAGCCAAACTGCGTTTCCGGGGCCTCTGAAACGCCGGCTCTCACCGGTCTTTCTGGGACTCACTTGTCACCTCCCAGCTCTTCACCTGCTCACCTCCTGCCCAGGCCTGAACCCGCTAGCAGCGGTGGCGGCGTGATCTCCCCGACGCGAGTGCTAAGAGGGATTCTGCCCCACCAGCGCGCGTGAAAGCCGCGGGGCCGGTTCCTCTTTGCCTCCCCGCGCTTCTCGTTCCACAACCCCCACTCCCACCCTGCGCCACCCTGGCCACCAGCTCGCAATGGCCCAGGGGGGACGGCCCCGCCCCGCCGCCCCGCCCCGCGCTTGCCCATTGGCGGCCATGGGAGGCGGGGAGGTATGGGCTCAGTGACCCCAGCTGCCCGCAGCCCGCGCTGGCACCTGGTGTCCCGCCGCCTGGCCAGCATGTTGCGCGCCGCTGCGCTCGCCGCCACCGCCGGCCTGCGGCCCTTGCTGGGCCGCCGCCTCCTGTCTGCAGCGGCCGCCCAGGCCGTGCCGGCCCCCAACCAGCAGCCTGAGATCTTCTACAACAAGGTGAGACCCGCTTTGTTCTGGGTCCGGAGTCGCCGCACAACCCTGGGTGCGACGCTGAGGGCCGGGAAGTTCCTGGCTACCGTGGACCTGTTTATCCACGTGGGACACTGGGGTTCGCTGTGGACCATCTGCACCCGCGCCCCCCAACCCCCACCGCCGGCGCGGTGGCCTGGGCCCCTCCAGCTGCCGTTGCGCTTCCAGCTCAGCTCCCGGTGCCCCCTCCCGACAGTCCTCAGCACTCCGGCCCCCATGTCGCTAGTGTGTGACGTGGCCCTCTTGTGGGGACCCCTGTCTTTTCCGTGGCCACCTCTTTTACCCCGACTCACGCCCTCCTCCACATAAATTAGAGAGGCAACGGTTAACGAAGGCGTGTCCTTGCGCCACACAAGTGGAATCGGGCGGGGGACCCGGACCCTGGTCTCCAAGGGGAGGTAACCGAGTTTGTGCCTTCCAGGGAGGCAGTTTTGAGCGACCCAGGCAGGCGCTTTCCAGCGTGAGATCCATATCCAGTGGTTGGCTTCTTGCTCAATGAAGACTTTGGAATGTTTCTGGTCTTTGCGTTATGGTGGAGTGGTTGGCGTTCACAGAGTGAGAGGATTAGGAAAGAACGGGTCTGGCTTGTGCAACAAGTGCGACCCGGCTACTCTTGCCTGGGCTTCAGTTCTTGGTAAAGGGCGAAAGGCCGGGGATCTTCCTCAGTGCCAGGCCCCATACCCGTGGTTTCAGGTGCTTGGTGCTGAGTAGCAGCACCTGTCCCGTGTGCACGGCCTTGGTGCCTGGCAGGTTGTGGGACTTGAGCCGTCTGTCTGTAATTTAGTCCTTCCAACAGCCCTGAGTACTGTAATTACCTCATTTTACAAGGGAGCAGCCTGAGTCACAAAGAGGTGAGTGGCTTGTCTGAAACTGAAGTCGGTGGCAAAGACGGGGTTCCCATCTGGGCCCCCGAGTCAGAGCAGTCCGTGGCACACTGCAGCTCCAGCTGGCATCCTCGGGGAGTGGTGCTGCTAGGGTTCTCAACAGGGCCTGCCCTGAAGCCTGGCTGCAGATTGCGTAGAGGGATGGAGAAGAAGGCACACGGTGTAATCTTTAAAGCATGCTACCATGAGCGGTTTGGAAGCGAATAAACAAAAAAGGGAAAAACCCAAGTCAACAGCGCAGCAGGCGTCAGCCTCGCAGACTGCTTAACTGGGATTTCACGCCTGGACGTCGGAAAGGATCCGCAGAACTATCCTGGAGGAGTTGGGGCAGCATGGAGCCTTGTCTATGGGATCTTCTTCAGTTCTTCCTCTTCCCTCCTGGAGGTGGGATCTGGGACCAGTTTGCATGACTGCCCGGCAGACAGAGCAAGCTGGGCCCCAGGTTTAGATGGGGGAGCGGAGTGAGTTCTCCCAGCAGCTGCTTTTCTTGATCACTTTTCTTCAGATCATAGAAGTAGCACGTGTTCCTGTTAGGTAATGTTGCTGAGTGCCAACTTGGAAGCTGTTTCTGTGAGACGTGTGGCTGTGTGAGCCTGTGGGCATTTTCACTGCAGCTGCACGTGTGTGAGTAAGAGAAAGCCACAGCACCGGAGGGGAGAGCACCTGCACTCCGGTGCCATGCTGCCCCTTAGGTCAGGCTCTGCTGGGACCAGGGGTCTGCTTCACGGTTATCTGTCCTTGGTCTGTTCAGATCTGTTTCAGTTCTCTAATCACTCCCCTGCTGGCAGGTGTGTGTGGGGTGGGGAGGCTGCTTCTCCAGAACACCAAGGACTCTAAGCACAGGCTGCTAGAGCCTGAGACGTTGCCCCAGGGCTTCCTGGCTCCTTCAAGTGCAGTGAACTGTTCTGAAGCCAGAGGGCTGCTTTGAAGTTGCCTCTGCAGGTGGGGGGTTTTTCCTGAGGGTTCTGGGTGCTTGGGAGACAATGCTTCATCAGATCACCCCAGGAGAGGGGGAGGGCTGGGCTGACCCTCTAGGTGCCCTTTGGTCTCTGCTGGTCATGGGTGGGGCCACAGGGTGGTGAACCCCTAAGTGGGTGAGGGAGATTCCAGGAGGAGCCCTGTGGAGGGGCTGGGGATGGCCAGCCTTCCGGAGAGTTCTCATCCAATTTGGCTGCAAAGACGCATCTGGTCAGGGAAACTGACTTTGCGTTTTCCTTCTGGTATCTTCCTGACCAGAGTCTTGGAGAGCCAGAAGCTCCAGCCACTGTGGCAGCCTCTGTGGCTGGGGCTTGGGGAGTCATTTTATCTCCTCCATCCCCAGTGCAGTCACAAAAAGAGGATGATCAGAGGCTCCCTTGGGGATGAGAGACCTTGGGGAGGCTCAGGGAGCAGGCCCTTCCCCAGCAGCCTCGGTCCCAGGAGCTGGCAGACAAGAGCATCACCAGCACGGAGACAGACACATAAGGGAAATGCAGCACAGAGCAGCGACCGTCAGGGCAACAGAGAGGCATGCCCTGGCGAAGGGGGCAGCATACACTTGGGTGGACTCTGTCCTGCGGGCGCTACATCTGTCAGCTTGGTAGAAATTCCGTCTACATCCTTGGGTTGCTGTGAGAATGACCTGAAGCCATTCTCAAACGGTTTCTGGTGCTGCCATGTTTACTGCAGCCTCACATGAGAACTGAGGGAAAGGTGAGGCTGCGAGCTCATCATGCTCATGTAGCAGAGACCAAACTCCATTTCATGTGGTGTTACTGTTTTTACAGTTTGTTTCCTCAAGGGGCAAGCAAGGTTGTGGCAAAGCTGAAGGGAGTTTGGGGTGAACTGTACTTGAGCCTTTCCCTTTTACCTCTTGACCGCAACACTTAGAGAACCCACAAAAGGGAATTCGTGCGGTTTGGGGGCTGCCTTGGTGGCACAGAGGGTCAAACCACTGCTTACAGAAATGGTAACCCATATTGGGGTACCACTTGGAGCTTCTCTGTCACAGATGCAGCTCCCTGTTAATGTACCTGGGTCTGCACGCACAGGAGCCACCCATATCAGAGACCCAGATGGAGTTCCAAGCTTCAGACTTGGGCCTGACCCAGACCACTGTGGCCAGTGGAAGATCTCATTCTGTGTGTCCCTCATATCTTTGTCTCTCTGCCTTTCAAATACATTTATTTGAAAAGAGGGCAGGTGGCAGAGGGGCAGGGACAGAGGGAGAGAGGTTCCATCTGGTTCATTCTCCAAGTAGCTGCAAGTGGCTGAAACTGAGCTTGGAGCATCGGAAGTGGAGCAGCCAAGACTCTACCAGCACTCACATGGGATGCTGCTATTACAGAGGGCAGCTTAACTTGCTGTACTATAACGCTGGCCCCCAAGTAAATGCATCTTTTAAAAATGTATAGAGACAAAAAATATATACAAACACAAAAATACCACACATACACAATAAAAATGTATAGAGAATGAGCCCAGCGTGATGGCTCAATGGCTAATCCTCCCCTTGCAAGTGGCAGAATCCCATATGGGTGTTAGTTTGCGTACCAGCTACTCTACTTCCTATCTCTATCTCCTTGCTTGTGGCCTCAAAAAGAAGCAGAGGACCAAAACTTTGGGACCCTGCACCTACATGGGAGACCCAGAAGCAACTCCTGGCTCCTGCCTTTGGATCAGCTCAGCTCCAGCCATTGTGGCCATGAGGGGAATGAACCAGTGGATGGAAGATGTGTCTCTCTGAGATCTCTCCTTTCTGGAAATCTGTGTTTCCAATAATAATGAACCTTTAAAAACAAAACAAATGTGTGGAAAAAATATTTTCCTGTATTGAGTTGTCCGATTCCAACAGTAACACATCCTTGGAATAAAAAGATTGAGCATCGTGCAAGTGGGCAAGCTAGAACCTTACGGGAGACAGAGGCACTGCAATAACACCCACAGCAACACGGTTGTTAGCAAAACCCCGAGTTTAAGGAAGGCTTAGGCAGTGAGGCAGCCTGTACTCCCTGGGGAAGTGGGAGACAGACCGGACTGTGTTAAGGAGGAAGAAGGACTGCCCAAGGGGCACACACTACAATATGAACCAATTAAAACCCCACGCAGCAAGTTTCGTATCCAACCATGTTAGCGGCGGGTCTGTATCAAGTGTGTACGGAGGCAGAGCAACTGAGGCTGCTTGGCGTGACAGGGCAGGGCCTACGCCTATGGGCGTGACAACAGGGAATGGAAACGTTGGCTTTATTTCAACGTTTTTGTTTGTTGAGAATGCTAAGTGTCCTGTGAGCAAACAGTCACAGAGAATAATGGTCCCCAGATATCCGCACCCCCGTGGATAATCCCTACTAACACTGGACACAGGGAAGGAGCTAGAGTTTCCTTGTTTGGAGTGGTTCTTACAGGATGAGCTGAAACCTGCAACAGGCCAAGCTGTGCCTTGGGGTGACTTGTGTGGCGTGAACAAGGCCAGCACTGGTTTGCTGCCCGTGTGACTGTGATCTTAAGAGGCTCTGGGAAGAGACAGGGCAACCCAGAGGGACGCTGCCTGGCTACTGCTCCTCCAACAGGAAACATCCTTGCCTGCTCAGGGCCCAGGGACGTGCAGAGCTTGAATACTGATCACATTGTGTGTATGTGGCATCAGCCTATGTTTTCAGCTTCCCTCCTAGCCACAACCCTACACCTCAGGCACTGTTGCTATCGCATCTTGGAGGTGAGAAGGCCGAGGCTTGGGGAGGTCAAGTTGCTGCTAGGCTCTGAGATTGTATGCCCTGAACCAAGGCTGTGCCGCCTCGGGGCAGACCCTTCTGATCACACCAGGAAGTAAATATTTGAAGAACAATTGAGTGGCAGATTTGAAACAGTAGTGGTTGATGTTTGCATTCCCAGCAGCAAGCCCTGAGATGCGAGCTTGGCACAGAACCTGGAAGGCATTGCTGTTTATGAGACTGTGTGTACAGCTGGTGCTTGAGGAGCCAAGGAAATAGCTGTTTCAGCTCAGAGGGGCTGGCTGCATAGCCCTGGGGGCTTCCATGCTGGAGGGTGGAGGGGCACCAAGGGTTGTGAGGTTAAATCGCCTGGGGTTGGTGCAGCCAGGAAGAGGGTGCCAGTTCACAAGCACTCGAACAGATGGAAGCTGCGCCTTCCCTCTCGGTCCCCCAGCCACCCCATCCCATTGTGAAAGTGCCTGAAAATTCAAGCACACAGAGCCTTAGGCCTCAGGGAGGAGGGAGGGGGCTGAGGCCAGCTGCCACTCTGTCCTGGGAGGGCTGTCCTTGGCCTCAGCTCCAAAGAGATCTATCCCAAGGCCCTGGATGATGTGGGAAGTATGAAGGTGCACGGCTTTCCTTGGTTATCTTGAACTTGACTCCTTGGGATTGTGCAACTCAAAGGACAGCGGCTGTGTCCCACTGGACAGACTTACTGAACTTAAGCGCTTACTGGCAAGGATCAGTCTAGCTGGAAAAACCCTACTTTTGCTCACTTACTTTTTTGGGAAAAGAAGATAATCCAGGGGCATAGATTTTCTAGGCCGCTCCCCTAGTCTTTCACACAGCAAAGCCTGAACACATTCTTTCTCTAATGCATCCTGCCTTCCTCCTTATATCACTGCAGCTGAGCACAATATAACTTGTTACTGGAGACCTTGACAGATTATGATGGGTGTGGGGGTGGTGACCTCTGCCCCCAGGTCCAGCTCTCCTGTCCAGGGCCCCCGCTGACTCTGCCCTAGCTTCCAAGTGTCCCTGCCTCCCCACCTCTACTCTGCCAGATCTCAGTTTGCAGAGCCAGGAAAGCAAGCTGTCCAAGGGCCCGAAGGATCGCCTTCCCCTCTAACTCAGCGATTCTAATTTCTACCCACCCAGAGGAAGCGACGTTGGCAGAACAGTGTTGGCAGAACGCCGTTATGGGAACAGTGAACGCCTGGGCTGGGAGCACAGTGATAGGAAACAGTTACATAAACTGTGGTGGGCCAGGCAGCCCTGGCTGGGGAGCAGTGTGCAGGCTGGGAAACACAAAGTCTGTTAGCCCCCGCCCCCGTGGTCTCCCGGGCCCCAGCGGCCAGTGGGGATGCTGGCCCGCTGCAGGTGGCAGCAAGAACTCTGCTGTCCCACAGCCACCCAGGCCCTTTCAGTTGCTCCTGCCCCCAGGTTGTGTCACTGTCACCCTGTCACCGTTCAGATTCTCCCCTTGTCGGCGCTGTCAGAGCCCTCCCACTGCAGCCCAGCCTGGTTTGCTGGCACCCTCTCCTTGCTGCAGCGTTAGTGCCAGGAGCCTGGGCTCAGCCCTGGCCTGGCAGCAGCCCACTGTTCAAGTTTATGGAATGTGTGAGGGGAATGAATCCAGCTTCTACACAACTGAGGGGGAGGTTGTTTAAGAGGCGTTTTTTGATGAAAAAGCTTTGTGTGTTTGGCCAGCAGTCCAGGCCCGCGGGGGAGACTCCTAGTGCTTCTAGAAACCCTGAGAAATGTGAGCTGGGGGTGGGGGGCGCGCCTCCCCACAGGTGTGACCACTTCCCCGCAGGTGACCGCCTTAAGCGTGTTATATAAGTCATGCTTTGGGTTTCAGGCCAAGAGGTTATAAAGTGTCTGGCCTGGACTAGGCCTGGTGTTGTTGATGCTGGAGACAGGGTGGTGAAACTCCGCCCTCGGAGCAGAAGTTCTGGAAGGCTCCATGGGAACAGCTCCTGACCCAGCTCCTCTGCTGCTCAGGGGAGACCCCTGTGGAATCTAGCTCTGAGAGAGGCGGTGGTTAATTTAAACTGAGAAAGTTCTAGTTTCCTGCTGGACAAACCCAGGTTTAATCTTACTGGCTGATAAGGAGGGAGAATGCTGAAAACTGGCCAATGAAGCATGACTCAGCAAAGCCTGTGCTTGCCAAAGCGCATGTGCCAGGGAGGGGCCCTCCAAAGTCCTAAGTTACCCATGAGGGAAAATGCACAGCCCCCCAGAGCTCCCCAGACCTGCCTACCTTGCAGCAAAACTGGGGGACAAGACTAGTGTGGTGCGGGAAGGGGACCACATGAAAAGTGGTAGCCTTCGCTTCCAAGACTCCCCCCTTCTCCCCTGCTTGAAAGCAGACCTGGGACAGGATCAGAGGCTGCAGTTGGAAGAACTGGACACAGAGCAGAAGCCCTGGGGTTCCAAAGATGGGTTCGAATCCTGATTTTGGCTCTTGAGCAGGCGGCTGACCTGGACTCTACCTCAGGACCCTCTGTGAGGTGCCAAAGGTGACATATGCCTTCTAGGTTTGCTGTGAGGTTTAACTGACAATGGCTCAAGCACATGGACCCCCAGTGCAGGGACCGCCACTTGGACAGCTAAGAAGCATTGGTGCTAGGGACACACAGAGATGGCCGAACCATGACACCATCCCTGGGGCAAGGGGAAGAAGTGAGGTTAGAGGGGACAGTGTGAGACCCTCCCAGGTCCAGTTTCCCAGTCCTCTGCCTTTACCAGGAGGAGGACCCTCAGAACAGGACGCACGTGAGCAGGTTCTTTCACCTGGGTCAGTGAGTTTGCCAGGCCCAGAGCCCAGGCACTTGAGCCACATCCCATTCCCTCCCTTCCCAACCCCTTGTAGGAGAAACAAGTGTGTCACTTCTCTAAAGCCGAATAATTGATGGACTAATATAGAACCATGCAAACATGGCTTGAAAATAATCTCATTAATGTTTACCCACATTCCCCTGTCAAGTGCCAAGTGCAGTGTCAAGATCTTTCCCTGGGAATGCACAGCTGGTTACACCCAACAGCAGCAGAGGGTTTGGGCACAGATACGAAATTTCAGCCTGAGAAAGTGGCCCTGCCGGCCCCTACCAGACTGGCTGCTTCCTGTCATCACCCTGTCATTGTCACACTTGTCCATGCTAGGCTTGGTGCAAACACTTAGAATGCGGCCCTGCTTGTTTGTCTTCCTTATTTGGTCTCAAGCTGACACCTGCTCCCCTGGGGTCCTCCATGCCTTTCCCTCTCCTTCCCCTGACTCAGCCACCTTCTGAGGACCCTCTACCCAGAGTCAATTACCCTTGCCATCTCAGGTCGTCTGGGGCTTGCTCTGCTGGGGACCAGGACGAAAGCCGTGCGAGAGCTAGGTCTATGCTGGGCTCCTCCCCTCTGTGTCTTAGCCCTGAAACAGGGTATGGCTTATTGCAGGTGCTCAATGGGGGACAGGATGACCTGGTGTGGCAGTGTGGCATGTTGAAAACGGTTGTAGATTCTTTGCGTCCTCCCCAAAAGAAGGGGACATCCTCTCCCCTGCCTGTGAATCTGGACTGGGCCCATGTGTGGCTCACTTTGTCCAACTGCATTTGGTGGCAGGAACGAGGTCCCGCACCTGCTGAAGCTAGACCTTAGCAGTGTCTCAGCTTCCACTCGGGCTCTCAGGACTCCCGTCTCTGGGGAGGCCAGGGGAGCCTGAGCCTCAGCGGCCCTGTCAGAGGAGCCATTGTGCACCATGAAGTTCAGACACTTCTAGCCCCAGCTGCCCTGGGACTACAGCTAAATGCAGGACTCTGTTGGGACACGTCCGTGAGGTCATTCAGAGCCGCTGAGTTTGTGGACGGCTTGTGATACATGCACAGATACCTGGAATAGGCAGGGACATTATCTTTGCAAAGTTAACTGACTTACCCCGGCCCCGTGGCAGGTGGGTGTCTCTGGCTTCCAGGTGTCCGCAGCTCATGCTTCTGACCTCCGGGTCGCCCTGCTCTGCCTCTTTCATGTATGTGTCCTTGTACTTGGTCTTTGTGCGCTGCTGGCATTCGGTCCCGGCTGGAGAGCAGGTCCTGAGAACTTTCCCTTCTCGTTGTAGATCTTCATAAACAACGAATGGCACGATGCGGCCAGCGGGAAGACCTTCCCGACCGTCAACCCGTCCACGGGAGAGGTTATCTGCCAGGTGGCGGAAGGGGACAAGGTGAGAACTGGTGACTAATCCCAGGGTGGGGAGGTGTCGTTTCTTCCACGTTTTTGTATGACTGAAATGTCACAGTGTATGTGTGTTGCTAGCCTAACTAAAAATGTCAGGCTTTGGAGCCAACAATCATGAGAAACTTCCCTGCAGACAACAGGGTACACTTGGAGGCTTGGAGTGAGGGCAGGGAGTGTCCGATCCAATTTACTCTGTCCACACCTAGAGACTGAAGGTCAGCGAAGGGAGACCAATGGCCACGTGGCAGTCTCGTGGACTAGAGCCTGGGTCTCCTCAGATCTAGCCCTGGAGGCAGGTTGAATCATAAGTACTGGGAGGAACTACAAATAAATCCCAGTTAGTAAATATTGATGGTTTTTAGTGGAGGAAAGGTAGGGAAACTGACTCAGGCATACTTTGCTCCATCAGCAGGGCATCGCCTCCTTTCCCAAAAGCCAAGGTGACTGTCTTTCATGCTTATGGGGAAACCGGTGGTCTTGGTCTGGCTGCCATTGCTATAACAGAGCATCTGGGGCCAGTGGTTGATCAAGAACTGAGGTTTGTTTGCACTGTTGGTGATGGAGGCCGGAAGTGCCCAGCACAGTGGATGTCCATCCACTGCTCAGCTTTGGCCAAGAGCCTTGTGCCACTCCAGCTCCTGGCAGGACGCAGCTGGGCAAGCAGAGGAGGAGCGAGATGCAGGCGGTTCCTTCATCAACCAGTCAGCTCCCTGCAGTGTCGCCGTGACAGTCAGAGCTCCTGGGGGCGTCCGAGGGGACTCACTGTAGCAGATCATGGACATGTAGCATGTGAACAGAACGCTGCCCTGTGTCCCTTGGGCAAAACTAGCTGTGTGGCCCTCACTGCTTCTCCAAGCAGAGGGATGCTGGGCAGCCTGCGTGGTGGGAGGAGGCCAGCTGACCTGGAGGGGAAGATTCCTTCTGCTGGGCTGGCCTTCCTGGCACTCAGAAGTGGTTGAATTCCAAGTCTGGCCCCCGAGACCCTCTGGGGGACTTGTAAGCGAAACTTCACAACTGGCAGCCATCAGGCTTGGCGCTGCCTGTCTGGAATGTCAGGTAGCGCTGGGATCTGTCTTTCCAGGAGGGCTGCACAGTGCCTGGTTATCCAAAGGTAGTTGCCACTGCAGGGGCCTAAGCTGCTGGGGTGGGTGTTTTGCAGGCTGACGTGGACAGGGCAGTGAAGGCCGCCAGGGCTGCCTTTCAGCTCGGCTCACCATGGCGCCGCATGGATGCATCAGACAGGGGCCGGCTGCTGTACCGCCTGGCTGACCTGATTGAGCGCGACCGGACCTACCTGGCGGTAAGTACCCAGCACCCTCCTCCAGGCCATGGCATCTGGTGGGCAGCCAGGTCCCACCTTGCTGATGCGAAACTGACCAGAAAGATGTAGGTAGACCCCTGTGGGGTATGTCCCTGGGCCAAGCACAGGAGCCTCTTTGATGCAGGTTGCTGAGAAAGGAGACCACGAGGAGTGGGGAGAGGTACGCTGGGCCCTTCCCAGGAGAGGCTTCTGGGGATGGCCATGTCCCCTGGTCCCTCCCCTCTGCATGGGGCGTTTTTCTGACAGAGGCAGTAGTAGGTGAGAATCCCATCCTACACTAGCTGCCAGGTGGACCCTTCCAGAAGGCCTGCTGTTCTGTGGCACCCTTAACCCTTACACAGCACACTGAATCCTCAGGATAAAGTCCTCCAAGATCCATTTTGGTCTGGCTCCATCGCCCATGTCATGGTGGACTGTGTCCCTTATACACACAGCACAGCCACTGGCCTTTCTTCAAGATCGTCAGGCTTCTTGGAGCCCCAGGGCCTTTGCACACGTGGTTCCCTCTATCTCAGGTTTTCTTTGCTTTGTCGTCATTTGCACCCATCCCTGTTGGCCTGGTGGCCTGCTATACGTCTCTTTCAGGTTTTGCTCTGATGGCCTTGTGTCAGGAGGTCTCAGATTGCGTTGGGCAGCCTTGGGTCTCCCTTAAGCCTTAAGCACACGTAGTTGATGCTCTGTCATCATTCACTGTCTTTTTGCTTGCTGGCTCCATCTTGTGTCTGGATTCCCAGCACCTGGATCTGTCAGAGAGCAGAGCAGAGAGTGTGTTTATGAAATGATCTGGTGACGTGTCCAAGTCACATCCCTTCCGTTGCCCTTCCCCAGTCTCCCTGCCTTGGAAGGGGCTGGGGCAGGGGCCTAGATGTGCCCTCAGTGTTCAGTGGCACCAAGGGAACTGTGCCCCTGGCCTCCACCAGCCCTTCTTGGCTCAACCCTCAGCACAGTCATCGGCTCACTTGCTCCCCTTCACCCCTGCGCCGTCCATGGCTCCGCTCAGCTTGTCCTTTGTTCTCAGGCCTTGGAGACCCTGGACAACGGCAAGCCCTATATCATCTCTTACCTGGTGGATCTAGACTTGGTTCTCAAGTGTCTCCGGTAAGGGCAAAGGTTTCCTGTTTTTTCATTTTGCCTGGCTGTGCCAGAAGGGAGGGAGGGAGGGATAAAGGGGAGGAGGGGTGTTAGGAAGCAGGGAGGATTAGAGAAATGCAAGAGGATTTTGGGAGTCGGAGATGTCTGCTGTGTTTATCTCACAGGAAAAAGCCCTCAAACACTGTGACCTTGACATAAATCTTTCTTCTTGCGTCACTTTGGGTAACTTCTATAGTTTTAACTTGTTCATTTGCTGGTGCATTTATAGGATTCTCCTGTACCCCTTTAGTCTCTGGGAGGGCAGTAGTAATATGTCCCGTTTTTGCTTCTGATTGGAGTTCTTTGCATCTTCTGTCTGTTCTCTTGACATGTTCAAAGAACTTTTACCTTTTGTTGATTCTCTCTAGTGGTTGTCACCTAGCCCTGCTCTGGTTTTCCTTTACTAGCTTTGGGTTTAATCCTTAATGTTGTGGTGGTTGGGAGCAAAAGCTTTGTTGGACTTGTTGGGGTTGCTGGGGACAGAAGCTCACTCAGTCTAATGCAACCCACACACGCCAGGGTCTCAGCTCTGCCTGACACAGGGTCACACACCAAGGTCTCAGCTCTGCCTGACACAGGTACACATGCCAGGGTCTCAGCTCCGCCTGACACAGGCACGCACGCCAGGGTCTCAGCTCCGCCTGACACAGGCCACACACGCCAGGGTCTCAGCTCTGCCTGACACAGGCCACACACGCCAGGGTCTCAGCTTCCACACCATGGTCTCCGCTCCACCTGACACAGGCCATGCATGCCAGGGTCTCTGCTCTGCCAGGCTGCCTTGGCTTACCCTGCTCCCCTGCTCCTTCCTCAGCTCCTTCAGGGCCAGCCTTCATGCCAGCTCCTAGCTACCCACCGTGCTGACGGAGCTGCAGTCCCAATCGCGGTGCCAGAGTCCAAGGGGGAGGGATTGTGATTGGTGGGCCTTGAGTCCGACCAGCTGTGGCCAAGGTGGACAGGCCATTGTGCAAAATGGCTGCTGCCGTGGGACAAGGGGAGAGTGTGGGTGTGGTGGGGTGTGCGTGTGTATGTGTAAGAGAAGAAGGAGCTGGACATCAAATAGCAGCAAACCTTCACAAGAGCCACATTCAGTGAGGGTGACCCCATGTCCCAGGGGACCCAGGGGCTCGTATACGCAAGTGTCAACGTTTGCTAGGGCCACCCTTACATTACACCACGCCCCACATTGATCCCATGGCTCCCAGGTCTGTGGCGACGGGCTGGCCCAGCAGCCATGCTTTGGTAATCCTGGGTGTTTGGATCCGATGTTCTGTTTCTGCTTCTGTGAGCAGCCCAGGTGGTTCACACATACGGGACCCTCGCAGCTGTGTGCAACTTTCTGGGGAATAAGTTACCAGACAGACCTGGCTGGACAGCTTTGATTCTCTTCTTTCCTCTTGGGTTTGTGGGGGTCTGTGAGAGCTGCTGATGGAAGTTTGGACTTCTCTGTCTTGTAAAGGTATTATGCTGGCTGGGCTGATAAGTATCATGGCAAAACCCTTCCCATTGACGGGGACTTCTTCAGCTACACCCGTCACGAGCCCGTGGGGGTGTGCGGGCAGATCATTCCGGTGAGTGCTGGCCGCTGTCCCCCAAGATTTGTCGGGGGCACTGGGTGTTGGCATTATCAGAGGCAGCCAGAGGCTGAGGACGTGGGCTTGTTTTGGATGTTCCTGGGTTAAGGAGGCCGTGATTTGGGCCTAGCGTGGCGCCGGGCACGTGAGCGCATTAACAATGCAATTCCCTCCCATTGTACAATGTGGGATGTGGGTCGCTGTCATGTTCCTGTCACAGACCCACGCGGTGTCTGAGGACAGCCTGTTGCTTGTTTCAGTGGAACTTCCCGCTCTTGATGCAAGCGTGGAAGCTGGGCCCAGCCTTGGCGACCGGGAATGTGGTTGTGATGAAGGTGGCTGAGCAGACGCCACTCACCGCCCTCTACGTGGCCAACTTGATCAAGGAGGTGCGTGGCTTGTTTCTGGTTTTTCTTTTTCAATTTGTTTGGGAAGGAGAAAGCAGGGCACATGTCCAGCTGCTGTTCACTCCCCAAATGCCTGCAGCAGCTGAGGTTGGAGCTGGGCGGCGAGACCACAAGAACTGGGGCCTCCCTGGGTGGGGTATATCCCCCCATCTGGGATCTTGGATCAGAGGATGACATCCAGGGTCTCTTGGCTGTCTGTCCACAGGCTGGCTTCCCACCTGGGGTGGTGAACATTGTCCCTGGATACGGCCCCACAGCCGGGGCTGCCATCGCCTCCCACGAGGATGTGGACAAAGTGGCATTCACTGGTTCCACCGAGGTAAGGCATGGTCAAGCCCTCACACTGGCCCATTTGCCCCCAGCTCCTGGGGTTCTCGGATGAGGATGCTGCTTTCAGAATGAGCATCTCAGCATGGCCTGCAGGTCTTCGCCCCCAGGACTCTCTCCCACTTAGCTCCCAGGAGAGGTCTGTGTGCATCTGGGGTGGAGGAGCTGGGAGGAACCCCGGTAGCTTGGCTGGCTTCCAGAAGACCTGGGGCTGGACTTCATGGAGCCCAGGGCTGCCCAGTGCCCTGACGTCAAAACACCTGGGCCATGTCTTGACTCCATTGCGGCAGAAGACCATGGGCTTTAGAAAGACAGGAGTTCAAATCCTGGCCTTGCCATTAGGATGCAGGGTGACTTATGAGGCTCCTGTCCTCAGTGACCCCCCCAGTGTTGGGGTCTTCCCTTTTGGGTCTGGATAAAGCACACGGTTCCTTGTCCCCAGGCTGAGGGCTTTCCTGGTGCTGTGTTCCCACAGGTGGGCCACCTGATCCAGGTTGCTGCAGGGAGCAGTAACCTCAAGAGAGTGACCCTGGAGCTGGGGGGAAAGAGCCCCAACATCATCATGTCCGATGCTGACAGTGAGTCCTTGAGGAGGAGGGCTGGGCTGAAGGTAGCCCCGGCCATACATGCTGTGGTCTGCAGCATCCACAGGAACTCAGGCTAAGGGGTAGCCGTCTGATCATGGCCCCTGGCAGCATGCTGTGGCCACGGCTCTTCCCACCTCCCCTCCTGGCTGCCTTGGATGCAGCAGGCAGAGTGCCCGCACCTGTTCTGACTGCCTCTGTCTGGCCCTGGTCCTGCTGGCAGCTCTCGGATTTGCCCTCCCTGGGCACAGCCTCCACCTTCTTCCTGGCCTGGTCTCACAAGCAGTGGGTGAGGGATGGTTCTGTCTGTTCCAGGACAGGCCCTGGCACTTGGCAGATGCCCCTGCTGAGAGTGTGGGGGTGCGTTTCACGGGCAGGCAGGTACTGGGTCTTGTCCATCCTCTTCTCATGGTACCCTTGTGTCCCCCTGCCCTCCCTGCAGTGGACTGGGCTGTGGAGCAGGCCCACTTCGCCCTGTTCTTCAACCAGGGCCAGTGCTGTTGCGCTGGCTCCAGGACCTTCGTGCAGGAGGATGTTTACAATGAGTTCGTGGAGCGGAGCGTGGCCCGGGCCAAGTCCCGTGTGGTCGGGAACCCCTTCGACAGCCGAACCGAGCAGGGACCACAGGTCAGCCGGGCAGTTACTGGGCTGGGTTCAGGGTGTCTGCAGCCAGCATGCAGAACAGGGCAGAGCATCAGGCTCGGCGTCAGTCAGCACTGGGTTTATGTCTCGGCTACGCCCCATGGGAGCTGTGGCCCCATAAGGGGCAGGCTGGAGACCCTCTCCGGCCTCTGCCATCTGTGTGCAGGCCTGACACCACGGCAGCTGGCTGCTGTGCTCAGGGCCCTGGGAAGGGAGCCACTGCCGTGTCTGGAGACCTTGCTGTGGGCTGGAGTTGAATGCCGGTAATCTGCCTCTATCCTGCAGCTTTACTGAGATATCACTCATATACCACAAAATGTGCTATTTCAGAGTTGCACACTGTGGAACCCTGACCACTAATCCACTAATTCTACAACATTTTTCCATCACTCTCCACACTTGCCCTGGCTGATAACACAGACCTCCAGACCCAGTAGCAGTCATTTCCGGTCCCACCCCCCTCTAGCCCTGGCAGCCCCCAGCCTGTGCTCCCATGCATGCTGGCCTGTGTTGCATATTACTGACCCGCCCTGGGTGTGAACACAGCCCCAGCCTGAGCTCCCTGTGTGAGTCGGGCCACCCTGCGTGTTAACAGATACAGTCATGCACCAAGTTGAGGCCTTTGGAGCTTCCACGTGGCATAGCGTGCCTGGCATCCTCTGTCATATTCAGATTCATTTAGGTGGCGTATGTCATTCTTTTTTTTTTTTTAACAGAGTTTTATTTATTTATTTATTTGAAAGGCATAGTGGGAGAGGGAGAAAAAGAGAGACCCTCTGTCTGCTGGTTCATTCTCTAAATGGCTGCAATGCCCTGGGCTGAGCAGGCCGAAGCCCAGAGCTGGGAACGCCGTCTGGCAGAGGCCCAAACACTTGGGTCGTCCTCTGCTGCTCTTCCAGACGCATTAGCAGGGAGCAGAAGCGGAAGTGGAACAGCCAGGAATCTGACACGGGAGACGGGTGTCACAAGCGGTCACTTAACCTGCAGTAACACAGTAGGGCCCTTCCCTTGCCTTTGTGACTGACATTCCAGTGTCTGATAGACCATGTTGTGTTTCCCAAGTTCTGGCTGCTGTTATCAGTGCTGCTAGAAACCCCAACACCTTTTTCTCTTGTTTTTCTTTGTGGTTATTATTAATGTGACATTAATCTGTATAATAACTTTAAAGGGGTGGGTACTCAGTGCGGTGGTGAAGGCTCTGCTTAGGACGTTTGCACTCCGTAGCTCAGTGCCTGGGTCAGTTTCCTTACTGCTCTTCCCGACCTTCCTGGGGAGCAGGCTGGAGTACTTGGGTACCTGTCTTCCACATGGGAGACCTTACCTTCAGGCCCGTGGGTGGGAGCTCTGTCTGCCTCTCAAAGGCTGAGAAAGGGAGCTGGTGTTGTAGTGAAGCAAGTTAATCTGCCCCTTGTGACATGAGCAACTTCCACTGGGGCGCTGGTTTGAGTCCTGGCTACTTGGCTTCCCATCCATCTGGGAGGGTTGCGTACGGTGGCCCTGGGGGCAGGGGGGTCCCTGTCACGGATGTGAGAGACCTGGCTGTTGCAGATGGAAGATCTCTGGGACGGTCCCCAAAGTGTTCAAATACAGACAAAGAGCCTTTGCTTCCCTCTGGGCCTGCTCTCCGTGCTCCTGCTGTCACACTGCTGCTCACCAGTGACAGGGTCCTACTGTGCATCGTGCTCTACAAGCTTTTGCGTTGTCTTTCTGGAATGTCGGCCTGGCATGTCAGTTCAGTTTTACTAGCAAGCGCCGTGATGCCGGGTGTATCATGGTAACTGTAACCAGCCCCTCTACTGATTTATTCCTAGCGTCGTTTCTCTGTTTTGCCTTTACTTAGTGTTCTTTGATGGCATCCTTGTTGAGGGCCTTGGTGCATGTGGAAAATAAACTCCTGGGCGTAAGCAGTTGGGCCAAAGACTGCTGTCCATCACCCACTTGCTAGAAGAACCATGCCAGGTTACAGTCCACTAACACCATGTTTGACAGTGTACTTAAACTCTGGCTTATCTCATAGTTGAAAACAACAACAATGGGCTCGATGTTTATTTCTGTGGTGGCCAGGAAGGTTGAGCCTTTTTGTACTTTGTGCCTCGGGCGCCTCCTCTTCAGGTCTTTCATACCAAGGGCTCTGGCCCTTTTCCCACTTGTCTTTTTGTTGCTGTTAAGATTTATTTTATTTGAAAGTCAGATATACAGAGAGCAGGAGAGACAGAGAAGAAGAACTTCCGTTCGTTGATTCAATCCCCAAGCAGCCACAAAGCCAGGTGCAGTGCTGATCCAAAGCCAGGAGCCCGGAGCCGCTTCTGGGTCTCCCACGCAGGTGTAGAGTCCCAAGGTTTTGGCCCAACCTTGACTGCTTTCCCAGGCCACAAACAGGGAGTTGGATGGGATGTGGGGCTGCCGGGATTAGAACCGGCACCCATATGGGATCCCGGGCGTGCAAGGCAAGGACTTTAGACAATTAGGTCTTGTTCCTGCATGGCAATCATTCTGAAGCAGGGGAGAGGTCTGAATCCAGTTTGGACATGACTGGCTCCTTCTCCCACAGGTGGACGAGACCCAGTTTAAGAAGATCCTTGGCTATATCAAATCTGGGAAGCAAGAAGGGGCAAAGCTGCTCTGTGGGGGAGGTGCAGCCGCTGACCGCGGCTACTTCATCCAGCCCACTGTGTTTGGAGACGTGCAGGACAGCATGACGATCGCCAAGGAGGAGGTGAGCACCTGCAGCCTGGGCTCCGGGAGCCTGCTTGGGGGGGCGATCCAGCGGCGTCCTGGAACTGCTGTGGCCCAGCCGCAGATTGGGCGACATCTCTGTGTCTACGACAAGCCACTTGAGTTCCTTTCTGAGCTTGTCACCCCTCCCGAGTGTGTCATGGGAGAACATCTCAATTCCCATCGTGTCCACAGGCCTTGGCGTGCTGGTCCTTGAGCCAGGAATCAGCATTCCCATGGCCTGACCCAGCAGGGCACTGTTAGACCAATGTGGGCTGGTCCTAGCACCTGAGCGGAGTGCTTTGGTAAAGGCCCTTGGTGCTCACCATGAGTGCCTCTCACACAGTTGCTCCCCACGCATCCGGTAGTTGTCTCCCCATGGACCCTGGACACAGGGCTGGCCACCCACTACCTGCCCTCTGCCCCCGCTTCCCCTGGTGGCCTCTGCAGGGATGGCTGGGGCTGCTGCATCCTTCCATGTACAAGTTGAAATCAAACACGCACACATGCAGATCAGTGCTGGGAGTTCTGCACTTTCCCCACCCACTGTGATTACTTGGCTGCTGTTCCTGAAAATCTTGGGTACTGGTTTACTGGGCAGCCAGGGCAGCTTCACTGCTGCCCAAAGCACACGGCGCCCCTCACTGTCCTTCCCTGGCCCTGCCTCCCCTGTGCTCTCTGCATCCTCCCGGGCCGGCCTCAGTGCTGCTTCTCTAAGTATTTTCCTGTATTCTTCAATGGAGAGCCCTGCTCACGCCTGGGCCTGTTTTCCTGCCATGTTGCTCTTCACTCCCACCCTGGTCCTGTTGTGTCACGGCCTGTCACCTCCACCAACCCTCCCTGGCACCCAGCTAGGCCCCATGGAGGCGCTGCAGTGGTCACACTGCCATAATGGCTGCATTCACTTCGCTGCTCTCTGCCATTTCCTGAGAAGGCCTGGGAACAGGCCTCCCATCTACCTTCCGGTTTCTACCTTCTCCGTGTTCCTTGTGGAACTGGCTCCTCCAGGAAGAGGATGGGGAAGGTGAGCTTGGGCTATGCTGAGAGCCAGGACCATGGTTTGTTTGCCATTGGTGCCCCAGTGGCTGGTTGGATGACCAGCTACATGGCTGACTTAAAATCTTTGACACCAAATCCAAACAACCCATCTCCTGCAGGACTGTTTGGGAGGAAGACACTGTTCAGCAAGCACAGGTGATGGAGGGAGTCCTTCCCCGTGAGCTTCCTCCCTGCGGCTGTCAGCAGGATTGGTGGCTGTCAACTCCCTCTGGGACTGTGAGGTTCTGCTGGGGCACTCATTCCCATATAGTGTGACTTGCTCATCACTGGGGAGCTGCAGGGTGATGCTCCCTTGTGGCCTCACCCCCCACTCTGCTCTCATTCTAGATCTTTGGGCCGGTGATGCAGATCCTGAAGTTCAAGACGATCGAGGAGGTTGTTGGGAGAGCCAATAATTCTAAGTATGGGCTGGCTGCAGCTGTCTTCACAAAGGACTTGGACAAGGCTAATTATCTGTCCCAAGCCCTCCAGGCTGGCACTGTGTGGTAAGAGCCTCCCAACTGTCCCTCATGACCCAGCACAAACTCCCCAGGGCCTTGATCTTCTGGCACCCACAGTTTGGGGTGCTGGGGTGTTTCTCCTGGGCCAGGGTATAGTGGAGCCATTAGGTCAGAGACCTCCAGCCTTCCCCTCAGCGAATCGAACATCACTCTGGTGTGTGCACCTGCAGCTCCCCTGGGCACGCAGAGTGACTGAGCTCCTTAGCAAGCTGGGTCGAGGACAGGAGACAAGTACTGATTCTAACACTCGTTTCAAAAGCTTAGCATCTACTTTACATCCACTACCTTGGTGATAATTTTTAAACACAGAAAAGAACAAGTGTTGATGAGGATGCAGACCCCTTGGAACCCGCACAAGTTGCTTGTTGGGAATGGAAGCTGCTGCAGCCACTAGGGAAGGTAGTCTGACAAGCCATCCAAAAGTTAAACAGAGTCACATGTAACTGTCAGTTCCACCCAGGCATATGCCCAAGAGAGGACACAGGTCCACATAGAAACAGTTACACAAATGTTACACAAATGTGCGTGCTAAAAAAACAACACATTGGTCCATCAACAAGTACACAAAGTATACCCCATTCACGAATGGAACGCATGGAAGGTGGCTCAGCCCTAAGGAGGAATAAAGGCACTGCCACATGCTCTGGTGTCACAACTGCGCCTTGCAGACACGGTTCTTGGGGAAAGGAGAAAGACCCAAAGTGCCACACACTGTACGGTCTATCTCACAGTCCCAGAAAGGCAGATCCATGAAGACAGAAGGGGTAAGGAGGGAGGACTGGCAAGGAGAACTGCTCGTTGGCCAAGGGGATTCTTGTCCTATAGAAACACTCTGGAATCGGACAGTGGCAATGGCTGCACAGCATTGTGAATATGCTCTCAGCCGCCAAATTGTACACCTAAAAGCAAAGAAAGTTTGGTTGCTAATTAGCCTGAGTGGAGGCTGTCCTGGGGAGTGTGACTGCCCTCCAGGGTTTCCCTTGAGGGACTTGGTGTGGCCACGCATGTGGCTGCCTGTTACCATGGCTCCACCTGTTCTGATTTTTTTCTCTGTTAAAATTTAAGCCATGCAACATAGGTATCTCCCTAGAGTGGCTTCTGACATCTCTCATCAAATTACAGGGTCAACTGCTACGATGTGTTTGGGGCGCAGTCCCCGTTTGGTGGCTACAAGATGTCGGGCAGTGGCCGGGAGCTGGGCGAGTACGGCCTGCAGGCATACACTGAAGTGAAGACCGTGAGTATTGATGACTGCAGGCGCCTCCCGCTTGCCTGGCTGGACGCCCAGAAGGCTCATGACTAATTTCTTAAATGAGAGTTCGTAAAAATGTCTACAGACTTTGGCAGACATTGCCCAAGGGCTATTGTCCAAACGGAGGACCAGTGGGTGAAGAGGCGCGGGGTGGACGCAGCCCTCGAGGCTCTGGGACTAGCATTGGCTGGTGAGGTGTTGAGAGCAGCCAGAGCCCCTTGTGTTTCTTCTTGGGTGGCACTTAGCTGGGGGGCACGTGGGGAAGCAGGGACATTTCGCAGCATCTCTGTCCCTCCCACAGGTCACGGTCAAAGTTCCTCAGAAGAACTCGTAAAGAACCACGCAGGCTTCCTTCCTTATACACTGATGAAATGCCATGAAGAACGACCCCTGCATGCATGCTAAAGCCTCAAGAAAATCTTCCTATGAATCCTTTCCGTCCAGAAAGCCTGAGAGCCTGAGCTGACGAGCAGGCTGGGTGGTGGGGTGATGGTGTGTGGAAAGCCCTTCAGACTGCCCGGGGGTTCCACCTCCCGCGTGATCCGTGACCCTAGGTTCAGATTCCTTCTCCTGTCCGACCTGCCTGTGTGGCAAGACAAAGCCATGGTTTCCCATTGCATCACTCAGTGCGGTTTGCACTGAGACACCAGCTAGCGCCTCGCCTTGTCCCTGCACTAAAACTTATTAAAGCACTGCTTCTCTCCATTCTGTGGGTGACGCTTGCTTTCTCCACCTCCACGACCCCAGGAAAATGCTGGCAGACACGGTGCCAGCCCCGCCCCGACGAAGGGTAAACTGCTTTTGTTCCAGGTGTTTACCGGAGAAAGCCCTCTGGCCTGTCTGGGCTGGACCTTAAGCCAGGTCCTCAGATTACAGCCTCACACCACCCGGCTCCTGCCCACCAAGGGAGGGAGTCAGGGAGGGGACTCGAGGCCAAGCAGGACAGAGCCTGTTCGGTTTCGGGACCATGTGCTGCCTCAGCAAGCGCCCCTCTGGAATCCCCAGTGCAGAAGGCTGCTCGCCTTTAAGCAGGCAAGCTGGACATTAGTAGCCTCCTGTACCTTGGGGTCATTATTTTAATTCATTTTTTCCCATGAATTCTAAAAAGAATTTTTTTTTCTCATATTTTATTCTGAAAGAGACAGATGGAGACATTGCCGGTTAGCTCCCCAGATTCCTGCAATGGCTAAGACTGAGCCTGGCCAGGGCCAGAAGCCGGGCACTGCATGCCGCTCCCCTGTGTGGGTGGCAGGGACCCAGTGCTACCCTTCAGGATATGCAGGGAGCTGGATTAGAAGTGCAGACCCTGACATGGGATGCCGCCTTCCCGAGCAGGGCCTTAGGAACCTGGCTGATCTGACTCGGGTCGTTAGGAAATGCATGAACACAAGCGCTGCGACACCTCCACAGCTGATCTGATAACCAAAACAGCTACTAAAAGCGACCAGGGCAGACGGCATGTGCAGTGGGGGTGAGCTGCGCGAAGGGATGGCTCACATGCCAGCCACTGTTATTCAAAACAGTGCACAACTAAGATTTACAACTTTCTCTGGAGTCTTTCACTGAGTATTTTTGGACTGTGACTGGCTGTGGGTAATTAAAACCACAGGAAGCAAAGCCACTGTCTTATCTACTATGATAACCCGTAGCAATAGTACACGCAGGTCCACATCGATTCCCAAAGCAAAACTCCTGGGTAACCACAGAGTGCCACGGGGCAGAGATTTTATGTACTTTGTTAACTTACAGGAAGTTAGTAAAAGATGAAAGAGGAGGCCAGTGAGGACCTTAGCTGGCTAATCCTCTGCCTGCAGAGCTGGCATCCCACGTGGGTGCCGCTTGCTATCCTGGGTGTTCCACTGCTGATCCAGCTCTCTGTTTATGCCCTGGGAAAGCAAGAGAGGATGGCTCAAGTCCTTGGGACCCTGCAACCATGTGAGAGACCTGGAAGAAGCTCCTGGCTCCTGACTTCATATCAGCTCAGCTCCGGCCACTGTGGCCAGTTGTGGGAAGATCCGTCCCTGCTCTCTGCAAATCTGCCTTTCTAATGAAAATATCTCTGAAGTAAAATAAAATGTGGAACGGGGAAGCAGTTCCAGGGCAGAGTGGGCACTGTGCTGTGCTAGGAGCAGGCTTTTGGCACAGCAGTTAAGGCTATTGCATCCCCAATTGCAACACCCGCATCTGAATCCCAGGTCATCTCCGACTAGTTTCTTCCCCATGCAGATGGCGGGAGGCGGCAAACGATGGCTGAGGTGCTTGGGTTCTCGCTGTCCACATGGGAGACCCGACCCCCCGGCTTTCGCCGGGCAAGGTCCTGGCTGTTGCAGCGATTTGGGGAGTAAACTAGTTGGTTGGAGATCTCTGCCTGCCCGTCTCTCTCTCTGCCTTTTAAACAAATAGATAGAAGTTGCCGAGTTGGTCAATGTTTTAAATATTTGTTATTTATTTATTTGGAAGGCACAGTGACAGATCCTAAAATGGCCTAAACAGCCAAATCTGGGCCAGGTGAGAGCCAGGAACCTGGAACTCCAGCGTGGTCCATACTTGGATCACTTTCCATTGTTTCCACGGACTCATTAGCAGGAAGCTGGAGTGGCGCTCACATGGAAGCCAGCGTTACAGGTGGCAGCTTCAGCTGCTGTGCCACAACACCACCCCAAGTCTGAGGTTTTAACTTGTGAATGGCAAACACAAGCTGACAGCCTCCAGGAGCTGGGTTGGTCATTAAAAGCCAAGATGGTTGCATGTCGGCCTGGGCAGGCTACAGAGCATCAGTATCCCAGCTTAGCTTTGGTTGGGGAAACCATTTTTTTTTAAGATTTATTTATTTTTGTTGTAAAGTCAGATATACAGAGAGGAGGAGAGACAGAGAGGAAGATCTTCCCTCCGATGATTCACTCTCCAAGTGAGCGCAACAGTTGGTGCTATGCCGATCTGAAGCCAGGAGCCAGGGACTTCCTCCAGGTCTTCCACACAGGAGCAGGTTTCCAAGGCTTTGGGCTGTCCTCGACTGCTTTCCCAGGCCACAAGCAGGGAGCTGGATGGGAAGTGGAGCTGCCGGGAGTAGAACCAGCACCCATATGGGATCCTGGAGCGTTCAAGGGGAGGATGTTAGCCACTAGGCCATCGCACTGGGCTCAGGGAAACCATTCTTAGCTTGTAGGCTGTGCAGAAGTAGGCAGTGGGCTGGATTAGACTCTGGCCATCGTGTGCTGACCATGCTTTGCTGCCCCCCATGCTGAGGAACGAACGTCCTTGCAGGGCCTGTATCAGGGTTAGCCCGACATTCGTGTTCTGCACAACGCCAAAGACGCATCCTCTTGGACTCCTGGTGACTTATAAATGCATCATCAAGATGGAACTTGCTGCCTTGGTCCCACCCGAATCACCCTACAGCACCCCTGGGGTGCAGCGTGTCCTCTGGGAAACAGGAGAGCTTAGACCCCAGAGCTGCACACGGCTGCCCTGGCACTCCAGCTTGCTGGTCCCCGCTCCCTTCGGCTGAGTCTGCGGGTGGAAGTGGGAAGCAGCTGAGCAGGCGCGCTAGGGATCAGGAAGTGGATTAGAGGTTCCCCTCTCCTGCTGTAGTGTTTTTCCAGATCGCTCTGGAAGTCTGGTTTGACGTTTCTAAGTTGTGCATTATCTGTTGATCATTATTACTGCGCCTGTGATGTGGATCCTTGCTGGGTTGCTGCTTCTTCCAGGTGCAGGCAGTGCCAGCACCTGCTTCTGCCGATGATCGCTGACACGCAGAGGGAAGCAAACCAGCAGGTGCAGGAAGGAGTCACAGTGAGCACAGGGCAGGAGACCAGGTGGGGCAGGTGTTGTGGGGTGGCGGGCTAAGTCACTGTTTGGGGTTGCCCACACCCTATGTCCGAGTGCTGGGGTCCGTGCAGTTGGCGTGGATGGCACGAAGGTGCGAAGAGAACAGCGCCCCCGCTTGGCAGGGCCCAGGGGAGCTTCCAGCTGTTTGGCAGGGCCCGGCGGATTTCTCTCTGACCACCCTGACGCTGTTTCACCCCCTGGATGCATGGACACTCAACCACCCCACTAAGAATTCTGTATTCTATTGAGCATTGTTGTTTGCCCCTGTAAGATAGTTTCTGCCACTGATGTGAGCTCGAGAGTTAATGTCACTGATAATGTCTTGGTGAGTGGGCCTTTGACAATTTACACACAGGAGCACAATTAAGCCCATGCCATTTTTGGACACCTTATTGGGTACTTAACCATTGTCTTAGAATTTGGCCCAGACATACAGCACACTTTCTGGGAAGGGGCTTGAAAATATCCTAAATATTAATGCAAGTGATGGGAGTGAGAGCTGAAACTGCTATGGCAATAAATATAGTTATTGTTATCTCAAAGGCTAGCCTGTCTTTGCAGTTTTTTTGGAGCCTAGAAAATGTAATTGTTTTAGCCACTTTTATAATTTTTAGCTAGAGGAATTAAGGATGCTTTTATTAAAGAAAAATGCTTTTGATTATTGCTTTATTGTTTATGGGGTTGTAGGAGTCTATAGTTGTAGGGAGATTTAATATTTGGAGTTTCTGTTTTAGATTTTAGGTTTTTTTCCCTTGTAACCTATTTTCCTATTAAGTGATGGGTAAATTGTAGAAGTAGAAATGTGGTGGGAAAGTACTACTGATTAGCAGGTAATCGCATGTGCCTTGGCCTTGGAGTCCTGGCTGTTGCTCCATGGCTACTGTTGAAGAACAAATAATAGCTTGCTTTGAAGACTATGAATACAGTATTTTGCAGAATTATCTCTAGGGGCACCTGCTTAGCCTTGAAGTGCAGATGGAGTGACCAAATGTCTGTACATGCCCCCGTTAGTCTTGAAGTAAAAAATAGAACAATTAGTTGCTTGTGTAGAAGCTTGAGAGGGGTTTTGAGAAAACAAAAAGGACAGCTTTTTCTGGAGCTGTGGTGAGAACGCACCAAGTGTCTGTGTCTTTCTTTATCGCCGACTCCACGCGCCCTTCCCGAGCTCCGAACTCGGCTGGAGCTGGACTCCGGCATCCGAGTGCCCGCCACCGAGTCCTACACCTCTGCCTCTGTGTCTGATCCAGCCACTCGGTAATGCTCAGTGGGGGCAGCAGATGGTAGCACAGGTTTTGAGTCCCTGCCATTCACTTGGGAGACCCACATGGGGCTCCAGGCTCCTAATTTCAGCTTGGCCCAGTGCTGGCTGTTGTGGACATTTGAGGATTGAAACAGTGGATGAAGGCTGGCTCTCTCTCTTCTCTCTCTGCCTTTCAAGTGATGAAAACAAGCACTGACATCCTACATGGGCACTGGTTCAAGTCCTGGCTGTTCCACTTCCCATCCAGCTCCCTGCTAATGTGCCTGAGAAAGCAGTGGAAGGTGGCCCAAGTCCTTGGGTCCTCCATACCCCAAAGACAACCGGGGCTACTGCCAAGGACGGGAACACGGAGACTGCAGACTCCCCTTGTCCCCGCCCAGTGGACCATAATGTCACTGCCTGCCCTTTTATTTTTTTAAAATATTTCATTGTTTTATTGGAAAGTTAGATATACAGAGAGGAGGAGAGACAAAGATCTTCCATCCAATGATTCACTCCCCAAGTGACTGCGACAGCTGGATCTGCGCCAATCCAAAGTCAGGAGCCAGGAGCTTCTTCCAGGTCTCACATGGGAGCAGGGTTCCAAGGTTTTGGGCCGACCTCGACTGCTTTCCCA